GAAGCTATGAAGTGATGGTCAGTTTTTAGTTGATGAGAAGATTGTGTGATCTTATGATGTATATATATTGCTGTTCCAGCTGATGGATTTGTCTTAGTTGGAGTGGCTGCTTTATAGTATGATGAATAATTTTTTAAGATTATTTGTTTGTCATCAGTTGTTTTTGTTTCTTGGAGACGGATGATGTGAGGTTTGTATTTTGCTATTAATATTTGTAATTCAGGTAAATTGTTTCTCATTCCTCTTATGTTCCATTGTAATATTATTATATTATTATTGTCATTTCTGTTTGGGAAGTCTTCATATGGATATATACTATTTTTATTTATGCTGCTCTGGTTGAATTTTGTTTTATTTTCTATTTTGTTTGTTGTGTTTTTTGTATCACGATCCGTGTTTACTTCTGCTGGGCTTTTTAATTGTTGTTGATTTGTAATTAGTACATCTTTCATCATCACTATCATCATTGAAGCAGTCATCATGCATGTCTTCATCAGAAAGAAACATATATGGGTCATTACTTTCATTCATATTTTCTTTTGGATTTGAGGGTTTGTTATTTGTTTGTTTTATTTTTTGACTTGATTCTGATTTTTTGGTTTGTGTTTGATTTTGAGCATCTGTATTTGTTTTTTTTTAAATGACTCTATGCAAGGATTTATTGGTGTTTTTATTAGTTCACATTGAACAGCTTTGTCTGACATTGAAATGTTCTTTTTTGCTATTTGAGAATATAACGGTTTATTTTCTTGGCAGATTTGATTTTTGGCTTGACTGTAGGATATGTTATTGTCAATTTTTTTCTTTATTATTTCTTTTTCTATTTTAAATTTTTGGCATATTTCTGGCATCGTGTGCATCGCATAGGAGGTGGAATGTATCTATCTATTTTTAAAGTTTGGTAACACACTTTTATTTCTGTTGGAGGCTGTGGGTTTTGAAAAGTTAATATGTAAGTGTTGGTGCTTAACTTCTGATTATTTTTTGAAATTTTAATGTTATATATATCACAAACTCCTTGTTTTTCCAAATCTTCTTTTATTTCTTCCTCTGTGCAATATTTAAATAGTGTTGTTTTGATAACTCCTTTACTTGTATTGAGTGATTTATGAGGATAGCATTTGACTTTTGTATCTATCATATAGTCGATTTTTAAAGCTTTTTCTATTTGGGTTTTTTCTTTTATCTTGAAGATAATTCTGTTTGGTTGTATTTTTATGAATTGCAGTTCTCCAATGTTCATTTGAAAAAATTTTTGTATTTTAAATACCGATATTTTTCCAAAATCATGACTGACGCCAGAATTTTGCGGTTCAATAACATAATACATCGTTCCTTCAAGTGCCGGTGTCTGTGTTACTATGGATGACAACACCCTCGTCCTCTTCTTTTGTGGCGCCAGTTTCACCGACTGGCCCACCCGGTAGAGTAAGCAATATGAATTACCGCAACTACAAGAATTTACTTTTTTATTAATTTACACTATTAAAAATTAACTTTTTGTAAACAATTCTCAAAAAATTTGAAATTGTAATTCCGAAAAACGATTTTTAAGCAAAATTTGTAGCTACGAGATAATACTCCCTATATCGCTCACCCCAGAATGGGTCAAATTTTCTTATATAATTCATCATGATCGTAACGCATACAATTCACAACGAGGGAATTACAAATTAATTTGCTTATATGTTCTTACAATTTGTAAATAATATTATTAAACCACTTTAATTTATTTAGTACGGAAATTGTAAATAAAATTGCACTGAGTCCAAATGTCATAAAATGCAACCATTTTTTAAATGAAAAAATTTTACTAACTAAATTAAATATTTACTTATGGTGATGTTTTCTCCCACAAAAGTCAAACGTCATTTATTAACGTTTAGCCAGGTATAGAGAGCAGTTCTCATAGATGTTTTTGTAAACATCATTAGGCAGATCGTCAAAATCGTAACATAAAACATTGTATGTACCACTAAAAGCTGAACTCATAATCATTAATTGAAAAACAAAACATGGTTTGCTCGATGTCTTACAACTGTAAATGCAAAAGTAAAAAAATTTCACTGTGTGTGTTATACTCACTTTTTGCAGTGCATTAACACTCAATAATATACATGAAAAAAATTTCTATTAACTATTTCTTAAGTGCCCATAACAACTTCTCAAAGTTTATCCTGATCGAAAGTTGCATGCCATAAAGGATAACGGTCAAGTAGGCATAAAAACGCTGACATTCTTATGAATATATATATTGTAAAGCTGGATGCGGACCATAATTAATGCAATATTTGATAAAATCTACCAAATTTTTAGCATTTGAAAATTTACGGTTGAGCTTTTCAATATTTTTAAATTATAGAATTACTGTCAAAATTATTGAAAAGCTCAACCGTAAACTTTCAAAAGCTAAAAATTATTAATTCTATTAATTTTTACTAAACCTTTACTATATTATGAAGATTTTTCAGCATTGAATGAGAAAACAAAAATATTGAAACTGAAAATTTGAGAAGAATTCGATGGAGAGAAATTCACATGTGTGCGCAAAAAAGCCGCCAATTTTCAACTCCAGGCAATTATGAACCTGAACAAATGTTTAGAGTATCTTTATACAACCAGATGTTAGACATATCAATTCAAGAAGTAAATGGTAGATTTATTCAATTTTATTAGAACATGAGTTAGTTATTTGGGTTTCCGAACAATATAAACGACATGAATTTAAAACATGACGAATTATTAAAGCGACAAAGTCGCTTGTTGCCTATGCACAAAAGAGCTCTAGATTCAGGCTTGAGTGTATAAAGACGCGCAATATATTGAAAAGCAATTATTTGATATTAGAAAGCGATATTTGATATTAACACTGCGTTGTATTTTTATTGTATTTGCGATGCACGTTAGTGAATTGTGATTCGGAAATCGATAGTTTCTGAACGTTAATTTTCATAATTGATTAACATTGATTATTGATTTGTAAAAAAATAAAATGATAATTTAAAAGTTATATTGTCTTTATCTTCCAATGGGATTAAACGAACCCGTCGTCGTTATAACATAGCGGAAATATTTCAATTGATTTTGATCGTCCTCCACTTTCGTGGCTAAAAAAATGTAGGCATCTGAGGTTGGACTCGGAAGTGGACAAATTTCATTTCATTGTGTGTTTAGAAAAAAAATTGTGGTGTTTTGGTTCATGCTTGAAAAATATTTAAATTTTAATGAATTTTTTAAAAATGTTAATTCTAAAAAATAATTTTTAGGTTCAAAAATCAAATTATTATTTAATGAAACTTAATACAAGTAAAAAAAAATCTTAAATTAGTAAACGAAATTTTAAGAAAATTCAATTTTTTACTGCGCGAATGAACACGTTTTAATTTTCTTTGGCGAATAGAATTTTAAAATTTGGTATTTACAAACATTTTCTTTAATACGCAATAACTTTAAAACCAAAAATATTTGTAACACTCTAACGATTAATTAACAAAACGTGGTTGTATAAAGTGTCCTGAAGAATATTTTATTTGTTAGCATTACCAGTTTTTTATTTTTCGTTTTTTGATTAAGATTTCAAAAAATCTTTCATTTTTTTATAACTTATTTTATATTTCATGCATATCTCCGTTCATCTAATTTGTCTTAATATATTTTAATTTTATCAGAAACATCAAATGTTGAATCTGCATATTGAAAAACCACGCTAAAATCCTCGAAATATTATCGTAACCAGGCTGTTGTATTACTGCCTATTGTATTACTTACCAAAAACATAAAAAAGTCTGCGGGAAACGTTAAATAAATTTTTAAATAAATGTTCCTTCAATTTAAAAATTAGAATTTATTTTTTCAAGAACATTTAAATTTCATTATTCAAAATTCAAAAATCTGATTAATTTCAATCTTATAAAAAAAATTTTTTTAAATGATGTCAAATGTTGTGAATATGGTCATGGAGGTATAGCTAGGTTGTGCAGAACTCGTTGGCGAAAATTTGAAATACTGTCCTACGAAACCAGTAAGATTACATCGCAAAGACAAATTATAACTTTAATGGGAGTGTAACATTGATTCAGATGGATCGTGTAATCAATTAAATAATTGACACTGTTTAATACGAATAAATAAAAGGGCAATCGTTTTTTTTAATTAATCTAAATTACTGATTGAAATAAAATATCATTTTCAAAAAAATTACACAGTATTTATATTTTTTGCTTCATTATATCAAATTGACTATTTTCTCTAGTTCAACGAAAAAGCTTTTAATAAAATAACCCATCAGAGCACTTAACGTTCAAAATGACATCCACCTTTATTTTTGTTACATCGACACCACCTTTCTAAACTCATAAGCTATTAAGAGCTTGACATAAAAAACAACGATGAAATTAATTCATTCACTCAATTCTTGATTGGTCATTGTTAAAATTAATTTGCTGCCTGCAAATAATCAAATAAGAAAATTAAAAATAAGATAACATTTTCTAGAATACCGACGGCAAACCGTGGTGGAAAGAGAGTCACCTACGTGCCGGTGCACAGGCAGCGCCAAAACTCGAATGGTGACTTTTTTTAACACTTTGTTATTACATTATTTCAAAAAATTTTTCACAACAATTCATTTAATAGATTTTTGCATAACTGAAAGCGTGTCAGCTCGAAAAATGAGATTGCTCTGGGAAGATACTATGCTTATAAATCAGGGCCAAATAGGTTCGATTTATAAATTTGCTTGAACAACTAAATTACAATTTTGAAATTTTTTGTAGAAGATGCTGGAAATAAAACACAAGTTACATTAAATAAGCACTAAAATGATTTTTATTGATTATTGAAATATTCTATTGATGTTCACTAAATCATATAGATAGAGAGTTAGAAAGCCTAACAATGTCAACTAATATAATGTTCAAAGGTTCATATCAAAATTAACAAGAGCTGTTTGTTTACTTTTTCTTATTAGTCATGTTGCACGGAAAACAAAATTCAAAATTTCATTCGTAGAACAACTGCCAATAATCCCAGCCAACAAAAATACTCGTCACCTTCCCAGTGTAGTAACCAAATGGGTGCTGGAACAGTTCGCAGCTGCTTGACTTTTTGTTGTAGTTGACTGAATCGCAGTTGAGTTGCATGCAGTTCAACAGACAAGGGTTGATCGAGCTTGTGTTCAATGAGAATGTTATTAGTTTTGTCAATCTCTTGTTTGAAAATTTGTTCCAGACCTTGCTACCTAAATAGGCATTCGTAAAGAAGTGAAAGATTCGTAAAATAAAAAATCTTTTACGTCGTAATTTATTATTTTTCAAAAGAAACAAACAAAAATTATCAAAATAACAGTCATCAACTTTAGAAATTTGATTGAAATTCAACTCCAACCGCTAAATTCGGGATCTGCCACTGAAAAGAAAGCATTATTTTAAAAACACTTTAAAAGACTTTCAATTATTCTTTTCTGCAAGAATAGAAATCCTATCAATGAAGAACAATTTTTCTAAATCGACCATCAACCAGTTGGTCTTAGGTCCCAAGGTACTGTAACTTAAAAAACATCCACAGTTAGCGGGGGTCCAATATTCCGTCAGTTGCTTTTGAGAGTTTATAACAAGAGCCAGTTAATGAAAATGGCGATGTTACTTTCTTCAACAGAGCCAGATTCTTATCTTATTTTAAAATGTAATTTTATGTAATACTTTCGATCAATAACATTCATTTTCATAATTTTAATGCAAAAACCTGCAATCGCAATTTGAGAAAACGTGAAAAGTAGGATTATCTTTTCCATTATTTAGTTTTTGAAAACCTATCAGTTCTTTCAAATTTTACCGAACTTATTCCCAACAGAACATGTTGATTGATGACAGTCTGTTTCACATTTACACGTACATGCCATCTGAAACTCCTGTTATCTTTTGCCACGTAGAAATAAACAAATAAAAAAAATGTTATGTTGAATTTTGTTCAGAACAACAATTCATTCCAGGAAACAGAAAATAATTTGAATGCAACTAGCCATCAATCAATAATTTCCTGCCTCACATAATTAATAAATAGATGAATTATTTTGAAACAAATTTCATTATAAATAATTTCAGACTCAGTTAAAATAATTGTTTTCTAAAACGAGGGAAATGAACAAAATAATTTTCACACCTGAGAAACTTTTCTTCAATTCCATAAAAGCCTGAAATGGAAGACTTGAATCATTGTTATAAATTGTGATGCTTTTAACGTGTCTTCATGCATTTATTATTTTATCGTTTTCGCATTTGTTTTACAATTTTATGTGTTGATACATATATTGCTAAAATAATTGCTGAAACTGAAGCAATTGAATTTATAATATTTTGTGTTTATCATGTTGTATGATTGTTGGTTGTCAGTTGTCTACCAGTGCCAACCTTAGCAAACTGAAGGTGCAACTTTGAAAGACCCTTGAAAAATCAAAAACCTAGGCCTCCGATTATTGGAAATCTTCCACAAACCAAATGTGAAATTGATGTTCACGGGGTGATGATGTTTATGGAGATGGTGATGTTCATGGGAAATATGACGAGGATGAAAAAGATAATAAGAATAAACATGATGATGATGATGATGATGATGATGGCGATGATGACGTAGTAATGACGTAATGATGATGACTGGTGTCAGTACTAGATGTTAACAACTGCTCGGAACTTATTGAATAAAATCTCATCGTCTCATTCTTCATCATCTCATCTTCCGCATCATCACCACGAACGATGCAGGCATCATCGTCAACGTCGAACGCAGTATTTTTATCACCTTCATAATCAACATCATTGTAAAGATGGCTCAATGGTTAAAGGCGCCTGATCTTGCTGCTGCAGTGACTGGGATCGAATACAAAAAAATCCCCGCCTATCATATGCAATGTGTATGATGCGTGGTTTACACGCGTATTCATATGCACTGTGTGTGTTTGTCGTTGAAACCTCTGAAGCAAGCGCAAAAAAGAGAGTAACCTTCAACCTTTTATTAATTATAATAATAAGAATCATCATCATCATCACAATAACCATCTTTATCATCATCATCATCACCATCATTATCATCATCACCATAACCATCTTTATCATCATCATCATCACCATAACCATCCTTATCATCATCATCACCATAACCATTCTAATCATCATTATCATCTCTTTCTTTTTCATCATCTCCCTCATCCTCACCGTCGCGGCAACCATCCGACCCTATCGGGACAGAAGGTGTGGCAGAAGGAGCAGGTGCAGTTGGGTAGTTTAGCATCGGACTTGTAAAAGACGGGTTGATGGCAGGTCATGCCAGTCCTGGAGAAGCAAGCAGGACAATCTGGATCGTAGAAGGATGATAGGGATGATGGAGATGCTGATGATGATGATGTTGCTGTTGAGTGATGTTGATGATGATGATGTTGAATGACGTTGTTGATGATAATGTTGTTGAGTGATGTTGATGATGATGATGTTGAATAAAGTTGATGATGATGATGTTGTTGAGTGATGATGTTGTTGAGTGATGTTGATGATGATGATGTTGAATGATGTTGATAATGATGATGATGATGTTGTTGAGTGATGTTGATACGCACACGCTCACACACAAACGCTCACACACAAACGCCCACACATACACATACACAATAACATTCGTAAAAACGCGTTAAAACAGCGCATTACACAAAATACGCCGTTTTATTGATCAAAACCATTTCTTAAATATTTTTATTATTATTATTATTTCTATATTGAATATAATCAGATAACTGCTAGGTGTAGGAAGAAGTGATAATAGTAGTAGTAGTAGTAGTAGTAGTAGTAGTAGTAGTAGTAGTAGTAGTAGAAGTAGTAGTAGTAGTGGTAGTAGTAGTAGTAGTAGTAGTAGTAGTAGTAGTAGTAGTAGTAGTAGTAGATGTAGTAGTAGTAGTAGTAGTTTTAGTAGTAGTAGTAGTAGTAGTAGTAATAGTAGCAGTGATAGTTATAATGGTAGTTTTAGTCCTATATTATTATTTCTAGTATTATTATTATTATTATTATCATTATTAGTAGTAGTAGTACTTGTTATTATTATTATCATTATTATTGTTATTATTATTGTTTTTATTACTCACTCTACCCTCACCATCACCATGGTTTAAACTTCGAAATTTGAAATCCTTCTTAATAATAAATGTTTCTTAACAACATTGTGCCATAAGAAAGTCAATGAAAATTATACAACAATCACGCTTATGCGCACACGCGCGCACGCACACGCAAGCACATTCACACAACACACACACACTCACACACACACAAACACATTCACACACAAACACTTTCACACACTAACACACTCAAATAAACATGTTTCATGGTAGATCGCATTTTATATTAACAAGCATCTCAAACTTCGATGCATTTTTTTTCAACATATTATCGTCGATCATATTTTATTAGGATTTTTATTTTTAATGCAGTTGCTAGAGCCAGTCCGGGTAGTAAGTATTCCAGCAGGATTCAATTCTATCAGCATGTAATGTATAGATTAAATTACCTTATCATTAAATTAGGTGATTATTGCGTACAGTAATATGATGGAGTCGTGATTTCGTCGAGTTATAGTTTTGTTTTATTGATTTATTATTTTCAAATTGATTAAAGTTTTAAGATTTGTGAATAGATGACATTTTATGAAAAGAAGTCCCGCTGTAAATCAGCAATGACGTGAGAAGTGAAATATTGAAACAAATTTTTTCTTTTTTAAAAAATCCATAATATATTCAAAGATTCAATCATTGAACTGAGGTTGAGTTGAAACAGGCAATTGTCCTGAGGAGGATGAGTTGGTCGGGCTCTTACTTGGAGGTCTCGGGGAGATGAGCGGAGATTTGTAAGCATTTTGGCTCACCCTAGAAAAATAAAAAATTGAATCGACAATAAAATATGTTTCAACATGAAAAACTTAAATTTCAACTGCACATTTACAGACATATATTACGCATTGGTCAGTATGATTCCGTCATGCCTCGTTCGTTAGAAGTCACGTTGCGTTGCTGTTGGTCATTGTATCATATTTCTTCATAAATTGCTGGACACTTTCTGACAGATAAATTTAGCGTAATTCAATTAATCCATCAAACCAATCAATAAGTTTATAAAACGCAATTTTCGCGATGTTCAAAAGCGCTCCTCTCAATGAATTTAGCAAACAGATAGGTCTTGAGATCCGCTCTGAACTTCGTAAGTGATGGAAAATTAGTCAGAAAAGGAGGTAAAAAATTTAAGAGATAAGGACTAAAAAAAGAAAAATGCAGATTTTGCAAAAGGGTGTTTAACACGAGTTAAGAAAATGTGAAAACAAGAAAACGATCGTAGCATTTAAATACTTTGGAAATAATTTAGATTGAGACTTATATATCAATGCGCAAATTTTAAAAATTATTCTATATTTCATAGGTAATCAGTGCAAGAAAACAAGGGATACGAGCAATTAGACGAGCAGCTGAGTTAAAAGCTTCATTTAAAGGATAGAGTGTGCAATCAGGAAGACCATATTAGACCGAGTGACAATAATCAACCTTAGATAAAATTAAAAAGTAACAAGAAGGAGAAGATAAGGCTAAAGTTTTTTTTTATTCTAAGTGTAAGAAAGTAAGAATTTCTATTATCAATATTATTCTGAGAAGAAATAGCCATGTTAGAATCAAAAATAAAGCCTGGACTACGAAACTTGTGAGAAACACCAGGAGTTGTAGAATCATGTAAGATAATAGAAGGAATAGTAATAGAGCGTTTATATTTATCAATACAAATTAATTCAAACTTAGAAGAAAAAAATCTAACACACACTGTGTCACGGAATTGTTCTCAGCGCGAAATTTGCACGCATTGTACGATTGTTGAATTGTTCATGTTTTGTACGCGTTGTATGCTGGTGCAGCTGGTTTTTGGGATTGGCTCGTCGGTTTCGAATGACGTTTCATTAGTATGTATGTAGGTTATTGTCTCGTGGTAGAGTATGTATTACGATTAGTTTGGAGTAGTGGTATCGTAATTGATGTTATAATAGATATTTTTTTGTATTTTATTATTAATTAGTAATATTAGGAACCGTTTAGTAGTGTAATAGTAATTAGATATATTAAGAACCGTTTGTAAAGCTGTTCGTGTTTGTAGCGTAATAATGGTAGTCTTGAGAACCGTTTAGTAGTGTAATATTAATTGGTAATGTTAAAAACCTTTTTGTAGCATAATATTAATTAGTAATATTAAGAACCATTTTGTAGCATAATATTAATTAGTAATGCTAAGAACCATTTTGTAGCATAATATTAATTGGTAATATTAAGAACCGTTTTGTAGCATAATATTAATTATTGCTATGCGCCCTTTTGTCGGTGAGCTAAAATGTGCTAAATAGTAATCAAAGTTGTGCATACTATTGCAGTGATAATTAAAAACTTTTTTATAAAATTAGTGATAACGCTTGTGGTGTAATACTTAAACAATAAATTGTTAAAATAATGAATGAATATTTGAAAGAAGTAATTCGATTCAACGCGCCAAACGACGCTCAAAATTTAGAAAACGAAGAAATCGAAAATAATTGTGCAATTTTTACCTAACAACCAACTTAAATCGTTCATTTTGATGACACGAGACAACATAATAACAATTTGTTCGTCAGATTGAATTGCTATTTAACACAAAAATTATTTCTATGTTAATTTTTAGTATTGAAATTATTAGAATAATTAATTGAATTTTAAAATTTGACTAATAAAACACCGCGACAAAATATCACAGCAGTGCAAATGGGAGGAATTTTTTTTAATAATTTTATTTTATTTCAAACAAAACATTGCAAAATGAAAAAAGGTTCCAATTAATACGAGTACTATTTGCAATTGGTCCTACTTGTATCAAATCATAATATATCAAAAATATCAAAAGAAAAAAAAGAGCAGACCATAAAATTAAATGTTAAATTTTCAATAATTAGAAAAAATAAGAAAAAAAGAAAAAATTTACAAAATTCACTTATCATCTTTGAAGTTATATGACTTTCTATCATTAATTCTTTATTCAGCCTGATAGAAGCAGCATGTTTTGTCTGAATCATTTTTTGAATTTCAGGGTGTATTTCAAAACTTTTTTAATTTTTTCAAAATTAAAATCCTTGAATTAAAACTATTTATTATTATGAAAATAAAAAACATAAGCGAAAACAAAATGTCCATATGCCCGCAACACAAAATTAACTATAACATTTTAACACATAAACAATGTACATGAATATATGTTATGTTCTGTTCATACATAAAGATCAAGCAAAAATAAAAATATAAACAAAAATATAAGAGAATAATTTCTATTATTAAGTCAACTACTTATACTTTATATATATGCATACAAACATTTCTTCATAAAAATTTCAATTTCAACTAATCATATATATTGTCCTCTCTTTAAGACAATCATGTCAAAACAAACATTTATACCATCATCCATAATCTATGAACAACATTCACGAATAGCCAGCCATCCTTTAACTCCGCTCTCCAATCGTATTTAAATTTAGCATTCATAAGAAAATCATCCAACTTTTTTTTGAACTCATTCAAAACACTGCAATTAACAACATCATCATTCAAATTATCCAAATATTAATAAAATATTTTTTCTTAAGTTCGTATGGAATGTCAGTGCAGTTAGCCTCATTTCATGTCCTCTTGTTCGTCTGGTGGCTCTCAATATTTCAGGCAAGCTTTGTTGGTCCTTTTCATTCAACATGTTAAACATCGTTATCAAATCACCTCTTATTCGTCTGTATTTTAGTCTTGGCAGTTGTAAAAATCTTAATCGGTCCTCATGTTTCATTCCCTCACAGTCCTTGATCATCTTTGTTGCCCTCTTCTGAACGTTTTCGATCGCTTCAGTTTCACGTATTGTCCATGGTGACTACACACTTGCTGCGTACTCCAGCTGAGATCTAACTAAAGATTTATATAATAACATAAAAACATTTTTATCAATAACTTTAAAATTTTTGTTTATTAAACCCAACAATTAAAATGCCTTCTTAACATTGCAATGTATATTCTCATTAAATTTTAAAGATGAATCAAAAATAACACTCAAGTCTTCAATTTTATCAACAAACACTAATGGGTGCGAGCTTGTTTTATAATCATAATTATTATCTGATACAGAACAACCAAACTTTATCACAACACATTTTTATCACAAAATATTTCACATCATTCTGCATAAACACCACTCATTGAAATTCATATTTAGTTCAAAAATATTTAATAAGTTATGATTTAGGAAAATATCTTTATTCGAATTATGATTATAATAATCCAATGAAAATAACGTTTTTACACATCTTTTTTGAGAGGTGTATAATTTTTGGATAGTCGTTTTATTAGTATGTCCCTAAATTAGGTAACAATATTGAAGATACGGGAAAACTAATGCAAAGTACAGCAGTTTTTTGTGTTATTTATTAAAAATGTTCTAATTCTAAAAAATATTCCCATAAAAATAGATAATTTGCTGATAATTTGTTCCATGTGGAGTTTAAAGTTCAATTTCTCATCAACGATCTCTCCAAATAATTTAAAGCTTTCAGTTTTTTCCAATTCATTATTATTTATTTATAGGATATTTTGGGATGGGTCTTCTAAAATTTTTCTTTGCCTCCTACCACTATAGAATTCCATATATTTTGTCTTTGATAAATTAATATTTATTTCACTTGAGGTGGATCACTTATGTAAATCAATCATCAGTGAATATTGTTTTATTACTTTCACTAGTGTAAAAGGTGCAGTCATCTGCAAACATAATTAATTTTGAATCTTCACAAATGTTTACAATAACATTGATGAACAAAATGAAAAGCAGGATAATGTAAGAGTCATTCGAATTAACCGGGCAGTAGAATACTGGGACAAACAGAACGGTGGTCTGGAAGGAAAGCCCACCAGTGGACATCTGGGGGGTTGACTTCTGTGATTGCCTGTCTAAACAAACATTGGTAGTTCGAGTTGACGATTTCTGGACCGAAGGAATATTTGTTAACTTAAAAAATGGGTAAGTGGATTTTTGGTTTTTGGAATGATTCACTGATTTGTATTATCAAAGTTTAGAGTGGTTTCTTGCCTGCCTGGCTGGCTGGTTGGTTGGTCAGTCAATTGTTTGGTCAATTGGATAGTTATTAAAGTCAGTTGGTTAGTTGAATTACTATTGGCTGAGATCATTTGCACCTAATGATAAAGATGGTGGGCAGTCTTTTAAAAGACCTGAGACAAATTCACCGAGTTGGTATGGTTGACTGTCCAGTAAAAAAACTTACCTATACCGGTATTTTTATCCTTTTCCACCTTCATAAAACATTTACAGATTAAGTCGCACAGAATTCTTCCAGCCCTTACGTGTTTGATTGTAAAATGGAATATTCGTCTCTACCCACTTGTAAATCTTTTTTACTAACAACTGTTTGTTAGGCGAGCGTTCTTTTCCCATTAAAAAAAGAATGGTGGCTTGATACTGAAGGGGCTTTTGGTCTTGTTTAGTTTTGACAATGCTAGTATTCGATCGTAGTCTTCAATTGGTTTTTGCTTGTCAGTGTTGCAGTGCGTCTGATGATTCACTACAGGTAAGGCAGAATTCGTTGCAGTTGTTGGGGTGGCAATTCTTTAGGGATTCGATAAAAATTTTGGTGACCCGCATAAATTAAGTAACAAGTTTTGATTATTTAACCAGTCTAAACTCGGCAAACTCCATGGATTATTTTTGTCATCTTTTTCTTCTTCGTCGTCATCTTCGTCCTGATTGCTGTCACTACTTCTGTTGGTATGGACGGAGTCGTTGTTGGCATCATCCCTGATGTTTTCCTCGGCTGCTGTTGTGATTAACAAATTTATGAAAACTCTGGCCTCCCGGCCACCCCATCTAAGATCTGACGCTAACCTAAAATGATAAGAATTTAATTATTATTACTAAGTTAATAACCGTCATGCATTTATCACCCTAAATTCGCTCAATGTAAAACTCAACGTGTAAACGCGTACACGTGTAAAAAATAATTACTTTATTATGATCAATTATTTACTTTATTATGATCATTCAATTGAATAATTAATTAACTAATTAAATGTTACTAAATATTATTTAAAAATAGGTACCGCAATTATTTATTAGTCGGACACATGGACAGATTGTTTAAATTAAAAAAAATTACTTTGTTCAGCCCTATAACATTTATTTTCCATGAAATTTTTGTTGCAAAAAATGTTGTTTTGTATAAACATAAGCAAATATGCGTATGTTATGTAATTTACACAACAAGATCATTAATTAAAAATTGAGATTATGGTGGCGACGGAACTGTGGAATGGGAAATATTCTTGTATGTAGAAAAAAATCATAAACTTCAATAAAAAACATTATATAAAAACAGATACATAAAACAAAATATTAATAAAATAAATACATGTACTAGTCCACACATTAAATAAAAAAATTTAATACTATTAAATTAAATAAAATCAACCATTAAATTACAAACATACAAGACGGAGAGATATCAAGCATACCTATAAACAAAATAAACTGCGACAGATATTTTACATGCATACGTGCAATTAAAATAAAATGCATTCCTACTAATATCCACCTCTAAAAAAACAAACATAAAAACAGAAAGTAATAAGTTCTAAACTAAAACACCAACATTCTTTTGCTGGTTATATCAATATTTATATGATAATATCTGAGAGAACGAAATTTCTCAAGGTTGTCTGATATTACCTGAGACAACAAAATTTTTCTAGTTGTGCCTCAATTTGTGAGCTCATGCACTCGAATATCGGCCAAACACTAATTATTTTCTGTATGTTGCTAAAATCTTCTTTAAAAGAACAGGTCAAGGAGACGTCTTAAGTTGCTGAAGTGAGATGCCTGATGATTCCCGTCGCAATTTCTCTGGACGGGTCTGTCAAGGTTTTTTTTCTTACAGTTAACACAACTAAAGTAAAAAACATTTCGTCTCTCCCGTCTAGGCATCTGATGAAGTCGTAATTATAATTAATTGCTATCTCAAAACCTTTCTTCCTTTTCTCCTGGCTAACGGCAATAGAATCGACGACCATTCTTTTTGGTTGCATGTTGCGCCTTGTTCCTCCAATCAGTTGCTAAACAGAATTCAACGACGTCTACAATGTTTTTTTTTTATAATTTTCTGACAGGTTTTTTGCATTGAATAAAATTTTTTTGGAACTAGTGCTAGTCTCATACTGAACTTTCCCGGCCGACAAATTGTTAATTTAAAACAAAGCCATTTTCTGTTTTTTTATGATCTTTCTTCGTTTCCGACCATTAGCACTATCTTCAAAAATCACCGTCCTGTCGGAGATTATGTCACGCCCACTGCTACATTATTGTCACTGCTACATTATTGTTACTTTTGAATTAAATGTTGAACTCGATTTTGTCTCCGATGTTTAGTTTGCTGATCTCTTCCTTGAAATCGCTGAAATGAAAAAAAATATTTTTTGCAACATCAACTGTCTTTTTGTGATTCCTTAATCATTTTTTATCCAACGTACTATATCTTGATAGTAAACAGAAGGTCTGGAAGCACGTTCTGCTCTGGCGTCTAAATTGAAATTTTGTTGATTACGAAAGTTCAAGTTTTTCTTGCCTTGAATGCACCATTTTTAAAATTACATACTCATCTTTGATCTTCGTTTGTTCCACAAATATCATATCGATATAAAAATTACTCAAATAGAGGTTTGCTATGGTTGAGGCATATGTCTTGCCCATAGCAACACCCCTGATTTGTAAAAATTATTTATCATTATACACAAAATCATTGTTAAACAAGGTGTATTCCAGAAGGTCTAGAACAAGTTGATTCGGGCGGCCCTTCTTTTTTGATCTTGACAGCACCTGTCTCCCCACTGCCATAGATCTTCTCAAGTCAATGTTGGTGTAGAGAGAGCTGATGTCGCCCGTTATCAAAATGTCATCAATTCTCACAGGTTTGTATTTAATATTGTTCACTAATTGAAGTGAATTTTTTAAACATTGCGTCATGTTGTTGTTCAATAAATGATGCAATTTTTGATGTGTCAGTGCGAACTTCTGATATGATTGGTCTCCCTTGTGGGCGTTTTGGATTATTCCATTTCGACATCGGCTCATGTATTTTCGGTAATACATCGAAGAAGCTAGCAAAAAATCCAAAATTTTTTTGAGATTTGGGCGACCAGTCAGAAGCAGGTCAAGCAAAACGATCCCAAATCAGCTTGGCTATATAAAACCAGAAAAAGATACTAAATAGGCATAAATATTGAGCAAATGCATGAAATAAATCAATTAAAAAATAATCAAAATAGGTTAAATTTTTAAAAAATATATAAACTTTGGTTAATAAACTATAAAAATGTTTAAAAATTGTAAAAATTTATGAGTTTGATGAATAATTTTTCATGGAAACTAAAAAATGAGACTAGACTCTAAAGCGCACTGAAAATATGCGCTGGTGGTTTGAGGGCCCTTATAGGTTTTTTAAGTAGATATGGGTGACGACGTATCTTCTATTTTTACTATCATTACGGCCACCGAGTTGCTTATTTTTACTGTCTACTGAGTTAAAAAAAACTCTACTAAGTTACCAACAGCCAGATCAGCGATATGTCCTCAATATTTACTGTATATCCAATCGCTTAACGAAAATTGTCGGTCAATGTATTTTCATTATCCTCGTATTATAATTTTCATCACTAGATCATCGTCTTTATTATCGTCTTCATTATTGTATCATTAATTAAATACATGTGTAATGTGCGTATTTGGTATTGGTGATTGGAAAACTCACCACTGATGAAGACAATGAAATTCAGGACTGATGCATTGATATTGCGATCGATATTGAAAAATAAAATCTACCGGTATACCGGTATATATATATCAATATATACCGATGCATCGGTTTCGCTAAATATCACCTCGATGGTGACCCGTCAAAATTGAGCACGACAAATTAGCGCCAACAAAATTGCTTTGACAAAATGGCGCCAACAAAATAGCGTAAATCAGCGCAAAAATTTCTTGACAAAAAAACGTAAAGCAAAAAGAAATCGCAAATTTCTCTCAACAAAATGGCGGACGACAAAATATCACTAAAATATTCAGAAATTATCACCTATTCAATTTAAATTTTACTGAAATTGTAAAATTTAAATAAGCCGACACAAAACTATTAGAATAATTGTTGTAAATCATTTTTTTAAATTTTCAAACAAAATAGTAAAAATAACATGTCAGAAACCGCACTAACTTGATATTTTTATTACGACAATTTTCGATTGAAATAGTAAAAATGACAAGCGTTGACATGAAATTATTATAATTGGTAGAGTATTTAAATTTTTTAATTTTAGATCGCTGTTGTAAAAATGGTATACCGAATAAAGCTTGTTCCGATGTTGTTGAAAGGAACATGAGTTTACCGAAAACAAAATATTCCAGTACAATGTAGGGGAGCAAAACAAAGCTGTCAGCAAATACAAATATCTCAAACTGAACAAACGTTTACTGACGTTCCTTTATCCTTCCGATCAACCGAGCGCAATTTATTTTTTATCCCGACCACAAAGTTGGTGACGGGTTCCCGCAACTTTGCGGTTCTTGGCCCGATTGTTTGGAATGGTTTACCTCCATACTTACGTGACCCTAACCTATCATATTTACAATTTCGAAGTCAACTTAAAACTTATTTATTTGCACACTGAATGTCCGTCTTATTTGTCTCTGATTTAGTAGCGCTTTTGAGATTCAACAATAAAAAAGCGCTGTATATAAATTTCCGTAATAATAATAATAATAATGATGATATGTTGCAATGATGAAATTTCTCTTATGTTGGGATGTCAGGGAATCGTTGGCAACACATGTTTTTGATCACACAATATGTTGATGAAAATGTTAATTTATGTCAACTATGATTGATTTTAGTAGGGTGAAAACAATTTTGTGAATATTATCATCTACAATTAAATGCCATTAACTTAATTATAATCGCAATAACGTAATGCGTGTTTTTATTACAATATCTTCTTCTTTATTTTTGTAGCTATTAGGATATTTGATGTTATTGTTATTAATGTTGCTGTTTATACTTTTATTATTATTTACTAAATTGTTTATCAATAACTGAGTGACTGATTTACAGACCTGCAGCTACATTGATTGAAAATGGATCGATTTTCTTTTTAAGCTATCAAACATTCATGATAAATTCTAATCAGCTTTGAAAAATTTGTTCGTTTCTGTAGTGACTTAACACTAAACACACACAGATTGAGAAGAAAATTTGATTTAGCAAATATGTCAGTTTATTGTATGCTGGTGGTGTTTTCGCTGCACAGGCTTCAATGCTTTGGAATGATACATGGTTATTTTGTGCTGTTATTTGACAGATTTTTAGTAACGGAGATTCGAATTACAAACGGACATGGGGTGCTGAAATGTAAAATTCAACATTGCTGAAAAAAATGATGCCTTTTTTCTGACTTTATAAAATAATATCGTGCGTGGTCCAAAATATGTTCCTGAATGTCTAGAATTCAAATGATGTTTTAAACAGTCAATCAACAATTAATCAACGTATTACCAAAAAAGCTTTCTTCACAATTTCTAACTTTAGTGAACTTTACAAATAGATGAGTCTGGAGATCGCATCTGGAATTTGTAAATGAGGGAAAAATAGTTATGAAAAGAGAAAGAAATGCACTTGCAGATAAAGAGTAAAAGGATTTGACAGGAATTAAGAAAAAGAGAGAACACGAGGAAACTGGGCACATAGACTCAATTGAATTATCGGATAAATATCTCAAAAATGATTTAGATTGAAACTTATACATTAATATGCAAATTCTAAAAAAGTTTCTACTTTCTAAAGACAGCCAGTGCAAGAGAACAAGATACTGAGATGTATGGGAAAACATAGTAGAGTTACAAATGTTAGTACATTTAATTTTCACGGACAAAATACACACTTTGTGTGGATGAAAAAATAACTTACATTTTTTGCTCTCAAACGCGCCCTTATTTTATTATTCATGAACTAAAAATTTTTAAATAATATTTTCACATTAAAAAATGTGTTAGACAAATTTATTGAAATAATAATAATATATTAATTTATAATGGGTTCAGACTAAAAAGTCAATATGCCCATATTTCAAACATAAACCAAATTCAACTCTAGATTTATATGAAATAGCCTAGCCTAATAAAATACTGCGGTTTCATTCTAGTGCACATTTGAAATTTTCAGTTGTAGTTGGTTTAAGCATTAATAATTTTTTAAATTATTGGAATAAACTTAATGAACAAAACCACGGTGTTGGTTTTATCTTTCTTGCGTTAATTATGTGTAAAATTTATAACTGGTAACAAATTGATTGCAATTTATACTGTTTAAAAAATATTTTTACTTATGTGACTGACGGATTGTTGCTTGAAGATGAAAACCCAATCGAGCTGCTTCTATAATCAGTTATCATTTATTGAGATGAAAATTTCAAAGTTGTGCAAAACGTACTAAAATGTGCAATCAATAGTTATAATAAATTTGCTGGAAACAGCTATTGTTAAAATTGTCACATCAACGCTATTAGAATACTATTTTTAAAAAATATAACACAAAATTTTCACATTAAAAATCATTCTCTCCTACTTATTCGTTAGACATATCCTTAACAATATACAACATACGTGAATAGGCGTGAAATAACGAATCACACGCATTGCATACGTAAAGTGGGAATATCATTGCAATCAAGTCCAGTAACCGTTAGGCCATCATGTCACCTATAAATATAAATTAATAGATAATTTTTTTTAGAAAAATTAATGTTTAAACTACAGTAGTTACTATGAAATATACGATTACTTAGATAGTTTTTAATCCATAATATTGTTGTAAACTTTAACGCACGTTTCTACCAACTCCAATGTTATAACTTCAATGATCACCGATCGTCAAATTATCGTTATTCCATAGGTTCAAGATTTCCGATAGATGAACACAATTCAAACGCAAACTTGACTGAACGTTTATTCAAATGCCAACAGTAATAAAAGCACTAAACTAATCCAAATAACTACATAAGTCACAACTACAACTTCTCTTCAAATCTCACTTAGTTTTTTCTCGTTTTAGTTCTTCCATTCTCTTTCCAATGCTTCATTGCAGTCCTTACCTTCAAAACCCTTTTATTAAAATCCCCAACATATCTATACGACCTCATATCCAGACATGAACATACTAGATCACTCCGCAGCAGCTCAACAGGTTTCCTAAACATTCCCGTTGCCGGATCCCGCCTGGCTGGCCGCGGTTTTTCGTCACGCTGCTCCGTATGTCTGGAATGCGTTACCTCCTGAGTTAAGACAATGTTCTTCGTTGAGTCTTTTCAAAAAGGGATTAAAGACTCATTTTTTTAACACGGGTTCCGGGCGCCTCTGAAGCATCTGTGCAAATGGGCGCTTCATAAATGTTTATATTATTATTATTACTTGTAATCTCGCTATTTTCAACCCCTTATATAGCCTCTACAGTAGATTTTTACAATCCTCTATGGTATGAAAGGATTCCATGGTTCACAGTCAATGACAAATAGCGAGGATAATAAGTATAACAAAATAACATTCACATTTCGGCAATTTTCCAATAAACTGAGAAGTAATAATTCAAGATAAATGCCTATTTGTAAATTAATCTATAATAACTAGTGAAAATTGTGGAAATTTTGTTTTCATTACAAAATAAATTAGAACATAAATTAAAATAAAGTTTGAAATGTTTGCATTGGAGGTTATTTTAGTTATGGCCACCGAGTTCGCTAAGTCGGTAGAAGAGCCGTTTCTCGCACTGCTATTACTCGATGGCATGGTACAAATGTCCGAAACTGAAAGAGCATCATAGGCGTACGATGCTGAGCGTACCTAATGTGTGTGTGCGTTGTGTGGTGTGGATAATACAGTTAATTATAAGTGAAAAATAACATTCAAGCAGCTTTACGGGCAGCATTATAAAAAATATGTAAAAGTGAACAGCAACCACTAATTTTAACTGCCTTAACATCTAAGTTAAAAGCATTTGCAGATTTGGTGACTGAGGTTTCAAAGGAAAGTCATGTTAATTAGTTGAAAAATAAATATTTTCACTGTTAATGACATCTGGATATTTTTTATAGCACTGAGATTATATCTACCCTACCTGGGTAGGGCTTCCAGTTGAAAAACGAAGTTTCGTTGATGTTCGTGATGTTTGCTCCAAACCAGCTGTCTAAAAGATCGAAAGCGCTGTGAAAGGAAATTTAAAATTATGATTTCTCCTTTTCACTCTTATTTCTTTTTTTCATATAAGCTGCATTCAAAAAAATCTAATTTTCAAGGGGCTCTCGGAAGAATATTTTTTGAACAATTAAAATTATTCATTTTACAAAAATGGAAGTCTAAATTTTTATGTATAACTTGATAATATGAAAAGAGGTCAAAATTTTCATTAAGATCATCAATGAAAACAGGGTTGAAGATGAGCAGAGCATTGCATAAGTTCCTGGAGTCGCTCCAATTGTTTCTGATGGTAAACAGTTATAACTTTTGTTGTTTTCCACTACATAGTCGAATTCTGGAGGACAATCTTGAAATATTTTTAGAATGAAAAATTTCAAACTTTTACAACAGCAATCTATAACATGAGTCACATAAGCTAGACATACCCCCGGTCAAATCAGAAGTTACATTGTACAAGACGTTCATTTTTGGAACACATGAGCAAGATACCACTGATATCGTGAAGTTGATGCCTCTCAGATCCATCTTGGCTTCCAGCTAGTTAGTACTTTCCTATTTACTTGACAACACATTTTAGAAAAAGTGTAAACATTTTAAAGCAAAAAATTATCAGCTTACCAAGCATTCAAGAATGCATTTACGAGCAGAACTGGTTTCCAACTTTTTGATCACATCCATGGTCTCATCAAAACAAAAGAGTCCTGGTATTATTAAAAACATAATAGCTGTAAGCTCTCGTATATAACACTTGAATCCTTTTTTCAGCGTAACTTGAGTGTTGGAAATAAATAAAAAATAAAAAAAATTGTCGGCGATATGCGTTCATCATCGACGATTTTAAGATTTTTGATGGGTTTTATAACAAATTTGTTATTTTATTTCACAAAATCAAGCGCAATGTTTCTCAACACGATCCAAAATAATTACGCCTTAATAATATCCAACATATATCACATAATTCATCTAGTGGATTCAAGCGTGTTGTCAAAGCTGAAACCAAAATGTTCCGGCAGATATATTAACATCTTCATTTATGTTTCAAGTCCCATGTGTAATATAAAATAGTTTGTAAGGAAGTTGAGTGAATGATATGTATAAATTATGAGCTTTTAAGAAGTTTTTTTAAAAAATTGTACTTTGCTACTTTGTGTTTAGACAGGTTGTTAATGCATCTAGTCATTTAAAATTGCCATTCTAATGAGCGAGTACCATCCGGTTTTGCACTTTTGATAGATTTCAGTGAACAAAAGCGTTTACAATGTTGAAAAGCTACAAAACGCATTATCTTAAGTGCACATTTTTGTTAACGTTTTCTAGTTTACTTGAGTTGATTGCACACTTTTTCGTAAAATTTTCTGAGTTTGAAATTTACCATGCTATCCCAAGCGTTGATTATAAATTGTAAAAATTTTACTTCAACTAATGTTCTGCCCTGTGCTTTATTTAATGTTTGTCCTTGGATGTCAGTAACTGAAGGTAACAAGGGTTTCTTGTTAATCCAAAACATATGCTTTATTTTAAAAAATACGCTAACCATAATTTTTAACCATGTGGAATTTTTGAATATTTTTTTTAATTTAATACAGTCGCATGCAGAAGTACATTGCGGCGAACACACTATTTCTACGTTCTACCTCATTTATATTATCGATCAATCATTAAAATTATCAACTAGAGACCCTTAAATCAAATATTCAATTAATTATACAACAACAACAACAACAACAACTACTACTACTACTACTACTACTACTACTACTACTACTACTACTACTACTACTACTACTACTACTACTATTACTACTACTACAACTATTGTTATTATTATTAATACTGAATCTACAGCAGAAGCTACAAATGTTACGACTACCACTGCTGCTGCTACTTCTACTACTCCTACTACTACATCATTTACTAAATTTTTTTGCTAAGTGAGTTGTAGGTATTAGAAATATTTTAAACTGAAAAAATAGTTGCAAGAATTAATTTATGACATGTTGGTGATTTATGAAAGTGGTAAATGACATTAAAATAGATCAAATTACTATTACATGCCTGCTGAATAAGTTTGATCGGCAAAACAGCTTAGAACATTCAGCGACTGTGAAAACTAGACAAGAATATTTTAGAGAAACTAACAGGCAAAAAGTATCAAATGCAACATCATTGTTACGTTTTTACAAGACTGTACGCGTTTTTGCATATCTCAAACTCAAAAAATTTAACCTGAAGGTGTATAATTAAGTAAATATTTCTTTTGAAATTTTAAACGTCTTTAATCACATGAATTTAACAAAAATGCAAAAACAAATGATAGACAGGCCACTAGACCAGCAATTTTGAATGCCTACTTGCAACGACGCATATAAACGGCATAATAACACAGGCACCCGTAAAAAATATATTTAAGTTGACACCGCAAACATTTTGCTATTTCTGAAAGCTCAGGGTTTAATTACAAATTGCCATTCATATTTTTTCCACTTTATAATTCGTAGTCAGTCCGCATTTAATGTTGGTTTAACGTTAACAAACAATTAATTTGTTATACTTGAATATTTTAAATTTAATTTCCGAAATGACAAAAACCGGCGTTAAGAAATGTTTCCAGATCATCACTACGATGTTGTTTTTGGTTTCCCTGGTTTGTTATTCTATCAGGAGCCAACGAGCAAATCAGGCGTTGTTCACCAGAGCAGAGGAGACCCTAGTGGGGTGCGGGGCCTAGAGCGAGTTAGGGGGTGCGGGGGCTAGTAGTACAAGTTGGGAGTGCGAAGCAAGCCATAACATACAAATGAGGAAAAAAATAATTTACATAAAATTAATGGGGTGTAACGAAATAAAAATAAATTATTTAATTTTATCAAAACAGGTTTATTTCTGGAAAATTGGTAATATACAAAGGTAGAAAAAATTTATTTAAAAGATTTGACTTGTTCAAATAAATTATATACATATATGAAATTTAGCTACATAATGTTCATGAGATAATCACAGCCGAAAACCCACTTTCCTTGCCTTTTTGTTGGCAAATTCTTGAATCAATTTTTTCTTCTATGGACAACATAGCTAAACCACAAAATCTTTCCTGATGCATTGTAAATCGGAGATAATTTTTTATCAATTTGAGTTTTGAAAAACTTTGCTCAGCTGTAGCTACAGTGACTAGTACTGTTAAGAGAATTCTGTAAGCTAAAGCAGCATTTGGGAAAAAATCTGCTAGATGTGCCAAAGATTCCAGACAACCTAAACCACTATTTGTTTCTTTAAGAATCAATTCTCTTAACACTTTCAGTTCGTCAAATAAATCCGAGCCATCCAAATCTCTAGAATCATCAACGTTTGTCAAAACCGATTCTAGACACATGCATTGTTTTTTCAAATTTTCTACAGTCATTTCACAAAGAAGTTGAATGTTAAACAAAAATACAAAGTTGGTAAAATATTCTCCTAGCTGATAGAAACATTTTTTTAGAGATTCTAAAGCTTCATCAACAATCTATAAAAAGTATTCCGTTTTGAAAGCGTTTTCAGGAGTGTTTTGGATTTCATCGTCTACAGATTCGTAGTCCGGCAGATTTTTTTATAATAATTCGCTTCTTTTTTAATATTGGTTCAATATTCATAATTGATGAAAATCCAGATTCTTTGTAATTGGTAAAAAACCCAATCAGCCCTTTAATTTGTTTTATGGCTTGGTCAAGCTGCATGTTTGAAACTTGAAAACATTTGCTGACAGTGTTGACCGCAAATAACACGTCATACCATACTACCATTGCAACCAGAAACTCAAAATTTTCTAATTCGTGGTTGGCAATGGATTCGGCTTCACTTTCCACCTCGGGGTCCTTTGCCGTTTCAAAAACTTTTATGGCGTCGCTAAACTCCAGTGTTTGATGGCGTACAGCTTCCATCGTTTCAATTTGACGCTCCCATCTGGTTTGTGATATTGGTTTTGGTGTTAAGTAGGGGACCATTTCTTTGAAAATCTTCCATCTATGAGTTCATCCAGAAAATACACAATATATTTGGTGCATCACGCCAAAAAATGTTATGACACGAGAGTTGCATTTTGCCATATCTCCCAAGACAAGATTAAGATTATGACAAGGGCAGTTGACAGTTATGACAGTTGCTAATAATTTTCTTTCTGACTTCTGATGCAATCAGTTCAATCAACTCATTCTGGACGTTGTATCCTAGGTAGTGATCCATAACATTTCCAGCATTTATTCTGCGGATATGTTTTTCCATTGTTGGATCAAACTTTGAAAACGTTTCCATCAACCCTAGAAAAGAGCTATTTTTAGGTTTTCCAATTTTTTTCAGATTTTCCTCGAAATGCTAGGTTGTTTTTTGCTAGGTATTCAACACCTGCCAAGATGCGCTGTAGAACAGCACGCCACTGTTGTTTCTCTTTTTCTATTCCGTCTAAGATTTTTTAATCTAAAGTGTTTCTGGTGGTAAGCCGCAGCTCCGCCTCTAACCAAAATTTTAGATTATTGACATGTTCTTTAGAAATTTTATGGGCTTTTAATAAATCTGCCATTTTATTCCAATTACGATGGCATTTCCTTGTAAGCTTACTTTCTTGTGTATGAGGACGCCCATATAACTTGCAATAGAAAGAAAAGACGGCGTCTTTAGTTTTGAAATACAATAACCATCTTCTGTCGACATATTCCTCATTGAGTAGTTTTCGAAAATAAAGATTTTTTGAAAAATGCCTCCTATCGGCATCTATTGGAAATTTATATTCATTTGATATCCTTACAGGACCTTTTTCTACTAACATATCTATCATGTTATTACTTAAAGAAGTCCAATGTCCTGGATCAAATATATCTTTTTTTACTGGTGGAACAATGCTAAATGCAGAATGTAAGGGTTCGTTCTTTAATTTCTATTATTATTTCAACCTCACAACAAAAACAAGTACGTTGCAACAATTTCTCTATTACAAAGTAAAAGAACTGTTTATAATGTCAGACAAGTAACAATACTTACAAACTGACGTTAAGAGTCAATACCTCCAATTAATTAATTAAACAACGTTATAAGTAAATATCGTAATATAATTAAATATATAAATCTCTATATTTCACAAATCACCAGTTCACGAATCTACCACTTCAACTTCCGAGACTCCACGATAATTCTAGCGACGACAACAATTCCTGAACTGAATTTCTGAGCCTGTTGACGGGACCTTCCCAGCGCTTTTATAGCCGTTTGGCCGCTATCACTCCCATGTTCAGAAATTGCGACAAGTTATTAATAACTCACGCAAACTGAGTTATTAATAATTATTTGTCCTTGAAGAGCAGTTCAATATTTTTTAACCAACCTTTTTTTAAACGTTTTTTACCTTGAAATCACCACGGCCACGAGATATTAATTCCTTGTTTACTGGTTATCCATTTAAATCGTATAGCGCTACACTGAACCCTGACAGCAGAAATCTCGTTTTAGATTTTTTCTCCATGACTATTCAACTTTTTTGCTTGCATTAACGAATAATTTTTTGTTAATGTCGCTTCCATTGATATCACAGTTTCTATCAATATCATTATCAATGCCTGCAGAACAGAATTTATGTCATTCATTTATTTGATTTTCCGAGAACCTTTCATCATCATCATCGTCGTCGTCTTCATCATCATCTCATCATCATCATCATCATCATCATGTTCTACAACAACACCATGCGAGCCTTTGTCTTTCTTTTCATTTTGATGCGATTCAAAATTCAATCCAATTTTCTTTTCGTTTTGAGTAGACGACGAAGGTGTTCAGAACTTAAAAAAACCACTTTGATTTTTCTCCAACTTTTCTCTTTTTTGTTTTTTTTTGTTTTTCAAAACCTGAATCATATTTTCTAAATGTGTCTCTTTTCCTGCTTGCATTGCTAGACATGTATGAATTTGTATGGGACAACAAAAGTCTAATCTACCTGTAAACAAAATTTTGAAAAGTAATGTGGAAAAACGTAAATAATTTAATGAATAAAAGTGCAAGGTAAAAATAAGAAACGCAGCACCCTAGTTTAAATTTTGATATTAAAAGTATATCTAGTTATAAAAGAAAAAACAAGCCCATTCACCCTTTTATCGAAATCACAAAATGTTTTTAATCAATACTGATAAAAAATAAAATTAAACAAGAGCTTCTAATATTTAAAAAAATGATATTTAAAATTTTAAAAAAGTTTAATAACAATAATTTTTAGCTAATATTAAGTAAAAGACTAGCCTGCTACAGAAAGTAAATATAATGGGCTTAAACGTATGTTATATATGCCCATATCAAAATAGCACTAAAAGACAACAAAAAACAAACAACAATGTCAATTTTATGATCATAGGGAAAATCTTTGTTGCCTTTGTTAATAATTGCCTTTGGAGGTTTTTATCGAATTTATTAATACAAATTTATCAAAAAAATTTGGATATTCAAAAAATAATTTTGAAAGCGCGGGGCCTCCAAAAGCGCGGGACCTGGAGCGGCCGTCTCGAGTCGCCCCCCTAAAGCCGCCTCCAACCAGAGCCTACAGTTATTTGGCGAGTTTTCAAAAACATGTGAAAGTTTGTTTCGATGACCACATGCCGATTCTTAAGAAACTGAAAAGTGACTCCGTTGCTGACTGCAAACAGAATTGTTTTGTGAGGTGTACGTAATATTTTAATTCATAAATGTAGTTGTGAAATTAAAACAAAGCAGAAACTAAAATGTACCAGCAGATAAATTAACATCTTTAATTATGATTCAAGTTTATATGTTATAAGAAAAAATTTGTATAAATTATAAAATATAATAATGTGAATGTGAATTTTGCAGCGCGACGGAAACCGTTCATTGCTTGTGCACCAACAAGCACCGCCGTCAGCCTGGCCGGGACTCGCTACCTCACGAATGCTTATCTCCGGGTCAGAAAACACGGGCTGGGCGGAAGAGCTTTTGCGCCCTGCTTGCCAGTCAATTAAACCTGCCCAACTAACCGCTGACAATTCTTTTTCTAACATGTTTTAGACTTTAGATATGACGAACAAAAACTGATTAAAATGAATGTATTGAAATAAACTAAAAAAAATTAATTTTTTAAACTTACTAATATACTCAATTACTCACGCAATACCATACCAACATACACACAAAAACTATTCACACAACATTCTACCAGCACGCACATATGACCGGTTTCATACAGCATACGTGCCAAGCACACCAGCATACGCACATGAGCCATTCATTTAAACTGCCCACCAAAAAAATTTACAAAATTATGACCTTTCAAAAAGTTCAAAAAAATATTTTATCCATTCTATTTTGCATTTAGATAGGTTGCTAATGCATCTAGCTATTTAAAATTGCTATTCTATTGAGCGAGTATTCGGTTTTGCACTTTAGGTAGGTTTCAGTGAACAAAAGCTTTTACAATGTTGCAAAGCAACAAGACGCATTATCTTAATTGCTCATTTTTGTTAAAGTTTCCGAGTTTACATGAGTTAATTGCACACATTCACGTAAATTATCTAGTTTGAAATTTACCATGCTATCTCAAGCGCAGATTTTAAATTGTTAAAATCATTTTCTGTCCTGTGAATTATATTTTGTTGGTCCTTGGATGTCAAAACATAATTATGTAGATACCGCAAACATTTATGTAGCTCAGGGTTTAATTACAAACTTCCATTCATACTTCTCTTAAAATATATGAGAATAATTTTTATAACATAAAAACTTGTTCATGTATTCCCATATATTACTTTCGACCAAACCTTTTTACCATTTTATAATTCGTAGTCAGTTTGCATTCAAAGTTGGTTTAATATAAACAAACAAATAATTTGATATATTTAAATATTTTAAAATTTAATCTCCGAAATGGCAAAAACATGCGTTAAGAAAAGATTCCAGATCTTCACTACGATGTTGTTCTTGGTTTCCCTGGTGTGTTATTCCATCAGGAGCCAACGAGCAAATCAGGCGTTGTTCACCAGAGCCTGCAGTTATTTCGCGAATTTTCGACAACATGTGAAAGTTTGTTTCGATGACTACATGCCGATTCTTAAGAAACTGAAAAGTGACTCCGTTGCCGACTGCATACAGAAGTGTTTTGTGAGTTGAACGTAATCTTTCGATTCATAAATGTAGTTATAAAATGAATTTTTTCTCGTTCAAAAAAAATGTTATTAAAATGTTTTCTTATGTAGAAAAGAGAATATACTTTTTGAAGTTTGGTTTCCAATGTTTGAAAACAAATTTAACTTACTAGATGTTGATATTTGCTGAAATAAATTTAACTTATTATCAATAGTTATTAAATATTTCGCTTGATTTAAAATTGTTGAACGTTCATTAGGTGGCCACCAGCATGAACTTAAGAGGCGTCAACTACCTGACATCAGTGCAATCTTGTTCATGTGTTCCAAAAATGAACGTTTTGTTGAACGTAACTCCCCAGCTGACTGGTGGATGTTTGGCTTTTGTGACCCACGGTTAGATGTTAATAATCCAATTAAATCGTTGTATGGTAAATGGAACCTTTTATTCCAAACATTTCAATAGATTGTCCGCCGGAATTTGACTACGTAGTGGAGAACAACAAGTGCTACAACTATCAACAACCCCAAAATACTTGGAACATCTCCAGGGATATTTGCAATTCTCTGCTCAACGCCCACCCCGTAGTTATTGATGACCCTTATGAAAATTCTGCCCTCTTATCGTATTTTAAAGAAAAATGTAATTTGTTTTTTGTATCAGAATTATGAAAAATTGTATTAACGATAATGAAAATATTTACAATTAATATGTTGAATAATATAATTGATTATTGAGCTTAAGTTTTGAAAAAATTATGAAATTAGCACTAACTACCGATAATTTACTTTCACAGGGTTTTCATACTCGTGGACAGCTGGCCTTCGAATGTTTGCCAATGGAACTTGGTTCTTCGGCTGGGAACCCTACCCAGGTGTGTTTTGCGTTGAGAAAAACATTTAAATATTATCAATTTAAGCTTTTTGTGAAGATGAAATTTATGAAATATTGGTCGACTTTTCACAGAATTCTTTTCACATGGACACAAATATTTTATTTGTAGTAATTAATTATTAGTTGTTAATTAAAAGATTCCATTCAACAAAAAACATAATTAAGTATTATCAATTCATATTTTCAGATAAAAATATTTATAGACTGGTTTTATTGAATAATTACCTAATCATTTGAATTTCGAATTTAAAATTTTTCAACTATTAACTTGAAACAAGGGAAAATGATTCCGATCAAGTACTATTTCTGGTATAATGATGGTTCATATTTAACATATCTTAATATGAACTGCATTCAATACGCTAGAAGAACTGATGGAATGTTTAATTTTCATTGCAATAGTAATGTCTCTGTTCTATGCGAGATTGATGTTGAGTGACACTGATTCACCTGACGAAATATTATCAAATCAAAAATATTTGGTGATAATTGCGAGAAATCCTAAAATAATGAAACAATTTTAAACTCTGTAGCTATTATACGTTAATGGATTTTTAATGGATTAATAATTCCTCTACTAATGTAAGATAATTTTTTATTTAATGTTATCACTGATGGCAACATTATGACATTTTTAATATCAATTCCTTTTATATGTAGATTGATAAACTTTGAATTTCACTTTTCAATAACTTTGCACAATTTCGAACCTTTTGACATCATTTTTTTCAGATATCTACTTAAATATAAAATCTGAGTTTGTATCCGTCATATAAACTGAAAAAACCATAGTTTTCTAAAAAAGTGAAACCTCAACCTAAGTACTTAAGAAAATTGATTACAATCAATCTTCACTGGCTTTAAAAGAAGAGACTTGGCAAAGGAAGGAGCTTTAAAACTGAAACACCCCACAGTTGATTTTTGTTATGGCTGAGATTAAATTTAACAAAGTGTCTATGTAAATTTGATGAATTATATTATATAATTGTAGCAGCTTCTTACAAAAAATTATGTAAAATTCGAATGAAAAATGCAAGTTTGAATATGGAAATCTTTGAAAATATGTAGAAGAAACTTTAAGAAATGTCGTCAAGAAAAAAATGTTAGCCTCTCCCACAAAATTTTCTGGCTTCGACAATGAGTGAGTGTAAAAAATTACACGAATGTAAATCTAAAAATTTTAATGTCATATGGTTGGCGTGTTTCCTCACGGTTTTCCAACAAGTGAAATTACTAAAAATGGTAAGCCAAGCGTTGACAATGAAATTTCATATGACTGGTGTTTGAGGTGTCCCTTTTCCTTGGGATTTGTACAACAGAGAAGATTCAAATATTTGGTTCATATCTTGGAAAGTTTTCATAAATTTAAAGTAGAATCTGCAATATTACACTTGAAAAAATTAATCCATTTTTTATTTCTCATATGTTTCGGTTTAATTTTCAAAGATAAGTTTTTTTTACTTCAGGACTGTTTTTTTTTGTATTTTGTCATTATAAAAATCAAAATGATAAAAAATATAACATATTTTATAAATACATGTGGATATAACAGAAAGTACTTTAGTCTATTCGTCTCAAATCGAAGTTGATAAATTTTTTATCTGGGCGTTCATGATTATTTAAATTAAAAAAACTCTAGACATCACGTTGAATTAAAATAATTTATTTTGTTTACAAGTACCCTGCTTTAAAATTTAAAACTAAAAAAATGAATTTTTATTAAATGTCAAAATTTTTTCACTCATCAAATTCTTGAATAGATTGAACAGTTTCAGTCTGATCGTCGACATGCAGGTTCTTGAATATTTCTCAGTTGAAACTAATATTTGTACTGTAAAAATTAGAAAAAATTAGAAAATACAAATTAGAAAAAACAAAATATATTATTATTATTACAAATCCATTTATACAGCGCCAATTACAAAAAGTTGAACAAAAACAGCAATGAATCAAAAACATTGTTCCGCAAAAAGAAGTTAGTCTTTAACTACTTTTTAGACAAAATCTAAGATAGATCTTGCCCTTATAAAAAAACCGGTAAACTGTTCCAAACCACAGGTCCAGCAACAGCAATACTTTGTGATCCTATCAGCAAATTTGTTGCTGGTACAACCAGGAATTCATATCATCTGATCTTAAGTGAGAACCCGACACAGAATTTGTTTTGATGAACTTGCATGCCAAATACTATGGTGCCTAGCTATGTAATGACCGAAACATTAACACAGCAATTCCGAATATTAACCTCTTCTCAATATTTATCCAATGTATCTCATTTAAGATTGGAATCCCATGATCAATCTTCAGATATTTTGTGAAAAGTTTTACAGCTCAATTTTGAATTGACTAAGTGCAGCTATTGACTTGTCGGGTAATTTAAAGTACAAACTGCTAGATGTAACAAAAGCATGTACCAAAGTTTCCATGGCAGATCTGTTCAAACAGAGTCGAATCCTGTATAATCTTCTGAAATGTATCATACTTGCGATTTATAGCGATTCAAAATGATCTTTTATAGAGAGCCTGCTATCCAACCAAACACCCAAATTTTGGGCTGTAGAAACAAATGACACCAAAACGTCACCCACCTCAACCGAGTTATTATCAAGCTTCGACAACTGCTACCATGTATCAACAGGATGCATCTGAGTTTCACCCCGATTTAACCTCAAGGAATTGCTCAACATCCAACGTTCAATCTCCTTCAAACATCTGACATGTCTAGTCTATCAATGACAGGCTGAAATGTCTCCGAATAACTTGTAAAATTATCTCTATATCATCTGCGTACGTGTTATTTAACAGATAATACTATAGATATTGTTATATTATATCCATGGGCCAGGTCTTCCTTTGTTTTACACATCACATGCAAGCGATGTATATGATGTGTGTACTTAATCATATTTGCATGAGCTGTGAATATTTTCATTTTTAAAAATACCTCATAATTATTATTACATACTATAATATTATTCAATTCCGTGAATGATTTATAAGAATAAAATTGAAAATAATATCAATTTGTTGTATCAATTTTTTTATAACACAATTTCTAAAATAAAGTGTATATTAGTTATGAAAGATTTATCTGTTGTGAAAAATGTAATGATTGAATTCAACGCACCACGTAGCCATCGCATACAACGTAATCGACGTCGTTAAGCATCGTTCGCACGCATAATTTAGGACATTTTTTGAATTTGTAAATTTTATTTTTTTACAATTTGTGAAAACTTCATAAAATTAAGTTTAAAATAAAATTACACTCTATTATTTGAATCAGAAAGTTGTATTTGGATTCGTTTACCCAGAGAAGATATGTGGAAAGTGGTATAGCGTGCACACTCATTATTTATTACCTATCATTGTCAACATCGTCGTCTTCATAATTATTCAAATAATTATCGCCATCATCTTCATCATCATCTTCAAAAATATTTTTAGCACAATCATAGTTCTAATTATCTATATTTTAATAATCGCACATCAAACTCAATGCAAATAATAAATATTTATGATCGTAAATAGATTAAAAACATCTGTTTCAAACTAATAAACTAGTTCAGGTTTATTTAATTTTAAAAAAATAAAAAAGATCGTTAATAAGCATAATGTTTTTTGTCGATGTTTTTTAAAGTTAATATTTGAGAAGCAAATTATGTGCAATTAACATTTTTATAATTTGCAATGTTATGGGGATTTATAAAATTAAAAACTAAACAAGCTATTACATAAAATTAAAAATAAGAATATGTGGTACATTAGTTAATAAAATCACACTGATTTTTTTTATTCGAGATGAATCACAATAAAAATAGAAGTAAAATCCATTAATAACAAAAGGTGAAAAAATTTGATAACACAGACAAAATTAACAATAATAATTCAAAAATAAACTTTGTTAATCAGAAATTGACAGACGCTTTCATTCGTAGCAGAACCATTTCTACTGCGTTCAAAAGCTTTTTCTCAGTGAAACTCACAAAAAGTTGTGATTAATAGCCAGAAAAGAATATAAAAAGTTACAAAGATTGGAAAATGTAAAAACAAACTATAAATTATGTTAATAAGATAATCTTTTATATGCAAGTTTAAATAAATTTAAACAATTCATTGCACTGTCATGAAAAAAAATGTACAAATCCAGTAGATTACGTTGGTGAAATTTTGTAGAAGAACGAACGTAGTTTGAATTGAGAAAATTTTGCTGAATTGTTTTTATTGCTAATAATAAAATGATTTTAAGATGACGACGATAATGGGGATGAGAATGATGAACTTTGAAATGATGAATTTATTATTACAGAGAGGATTTTGAAATAAAATGATATGATTATGTTGGTGCTGGAAACCATGTTGAAATAGATGACAAGCATGAGAATTTTGAATTTTTTCTGTTTCATCTTCATCATCATTATTGTCATCTTTGTGAACATTTTATCATTCTCATCATTTCCACATAATCATCATCGTCGTCGTCATCTTCATCTTCAAAATAAATGTTAACATACTCAGATCTCTCGTCTTAAATATTTCAATTGCACGTTCAAATTGATATAATTAATCTATATTTTCAATAATAAATAATTCTAAAACGTCGATTTCCAATTTTTAAACTTTCAAATTAAAATTTTTTTATTTAAAAAACTCAAATGACCTTTATTAAACTACATTTGAGTTTGAAGTAAGATCATGGTGTGATGATATATTAATTTTTTATTTTTTCACTAAAAACTTTAAACAATCATATTTTATAAAAACAGCAGAAAACACTCTCTTCTGAATTCATTCGACATTTTTTTTTAAATCTTTCAACGAATGTACTTTTTGAAATGTAAATTTCGCCTTTTCAACAGGAAACTAACGCAATGTTCTATATTAACGTAAATTTCTACAGACAGTGTTTGTTATATTGTATAATTTTCATTCTCTATTGTTTATTCTTGCTATATTGGCAAGGGTCAATTGCCTGCTTTAATAATAAAAAAATGTTGTCCATCGAACTAGATTATTCACATATAATATGTTAAAATGTATATGTATCAGCATCTGCCTATTACCATGATTTACTAAAATAGCAATTATAAAAAAAGGTTAATGCATTTCATAATCAATATTAATAATACAACGCACTTATTTAAAAATTATTTGTAAATTTTTTAATTCGACTATGTATTGTAAGCTATCTATAGGTATATCTATAAGCTAAAATCTTATTTAAGATGAGTGATGTTTCTATCTCGCTACTGCTGCCTTGTCGCAAAATAAACTTGATCGTCATCCTCAACTTGTGACAAGTTGGTCAAATTTGTTACCGTAATCTTAGTAAGTCCTTATTTCAATTAATGTTAGTTTTTGCTATTGGTGCAAATTTTATTTATTTTTTGCACTATTTGTCTTAAATACAGTTTTAGTTAATCTCTGTTAAATTATTACGCTTCAAGTTAATTTCTATTATTTTGGTTTATTAATTTACTATTTTTAACTTTTTAACATTTAGTTAAAAATTAATAATACTATTTTTTAATAGAACAATAAGTTTCTCTAGTTTTGAAAGTTATATCCATTTTTTAGATTTTTATAAATTAAAAATTAATTCGATGAAAAACAGACCGGCGGAACAGAACGCTTCTAGAATGTTCATCCTCACCATAGCTTTCCTGCTTCTATTGGTAGTGGACAATTCAGATCAAAGTTTGATTTGAATATTTTTTTTTAGAATTATAATTATTATTGTATATAGATTGTGATATTTGAGCCAGGTTAACGAGTTTAAACAGATTTAATGACTGCTTAACAAGTAACAGAAAAAGGAACAAAACAGCAATCAGTATTTGTAGCAAGGAATTGCAGAAACATATCTCAGTATTTAGTCCATTTCTAATAAGCAAACAATTAAATTTAAAAAAATTGATATAATATAAAGCCATATTAAATATAAAATTGTTTATCAGGAATTTGTCGTTGGATTGCTTACCAAAAAAAGTTCAGACAAGGTGGAATGGAAGTACCGCGCATTCGCTCGTTGGACGGTTGTAAAGATGCATGCTTGGCATCTACAACATGTAAGGCTATAGCATGGGGCGATCCGATGCACACTCCGCGTCCGAGGTGTCTCATATTCAGAACTAGTGCACTCCCAAACGAAAGACATGATGGGTATACGTATTACCGCTGCTGAGTCTGAAATTATAAACAGATGAACATGTATACGATCAAACTTTTGATGAGAAACTTAAATATCTGTTTAACTTCATTGATCTGCTTATAAATTATGTAATAAATGGTTGATCTGTTTTTCATGTTTTCAATCGAAATCGACTACAAAAAATTAGAAAATTTAAAAATTAGGAAAACATCTTTTAACATTTTCACAGGTTTTCTACATTATTTGATAAAAATATCATAAAAAAGTTAGTTTTCTAACATTTATTCTTTTCATGATTCCTATCGGTAGGAGAGTGGTAAACATTTAAGAGTTTATTAATTTATTAAACCATAATTTATTAAAATTTTTCACTTGAAAATTTTTAGAAAAAATAATAAGAATCCCAATGCAAATTTAAAGTATACCATGATAAAATTGCCATTGCCATTAATATTTGAACTGTTTGTAGATAACAACAAGTGAATCAATTACATTATAACGAAAAATATAACCATCGAAATTCCTTATCAAGCAGCATTTCATGGTAAGATCTGTTTTGGGTTTTTGTAAAATACTCGTGAGTGCTTAATAAAATTTTCTGTCGTTTATTTAATTTAGATAGGGCGTTGGTTTCTTCTAGTGCCATCGAATTTATCTTACTGATTTAAAAAAATGCTCACTGATTATTACATGATTCAAAATTTTGATAATTTATTTGTTCTTGACAGTAAGATTTTACGTTACGTACGTTGTATACTTGTACTTAAGTATGTGAAAAAATTGTACTTACGTACTTGAACTTTTTTCAGTACTTTTAAATAATACATTTTTCTTATTTTTATTGACTAAAATAATTGATCAGGTTCTGAGTTTTATCAGAATCTTAGACATCGCTCGGAACCATTTTAATTTTTAATTACCATGCTATCATTTTTTTATCCATGCTCATTAGTTTCCGTTTTTCGTTTACATTCTGAATTCTGATAAAGATGGCGCGTGATGTAGAAAACTTGAGGATTTTGCCTTTAGTTGTTAGGAATTAGTTTTTCGAAGTCGTTGAAGATAATTGTGACGTTATTGTTGCAGCTTGTAGTTTGTGCAAGCCAAAGAGACAACTTATTCGTGGAAAGCGCCATCTAATTTTAACAAACACGTGAAGGTTTTGTTGAGGGAATGTTCGATTTAATATTATTTAATATATTATAAGAGGCGGAGCCATTCAAATGGAAAAATGTTTGTTTATTGAGTTGAGTTTGATTTTTCCACTCTTCTTTGAAGATGTGGTTGTTGGTACCGATATCGCTGGGGTTGAACTTGTTTCTCTAATGATGTTGCTTTTGGCGCTGATAATGTGGTTGATGGTTCTGCTGTGACTGACATTTATCTTGTTTCTTGAGATGTTGATGGTGTTGTTGGCGATCACGTTGTTGCTGAAAACGCAGTTGCCGTTTTGGTTGTTGGTTCAAATTTTGTTCTGGCCTCTCATGCAACCATTTGTCCAGCTGTAAACAATTTTTAGAATGAGATGTGTGTGAGGAGGATAAACTATGCTCAGCTTTTTTCTTTCTGTGATGATCTTGATGCTGCTGCTGTTGAACAGGAGAAGGAAGAGAGAGAACTAGAAGGAGAGAATCGTTCATGTGTGAATTTGCTGATGGGATGGTAGTATTCTGCTCAGCATTTTGCTGTTGTGATTGTTGGATGTCATTTTTTATCTTCGTTCTTGCTCAGGACAACTTTTATTTTATTGGATTCTTCTGGTGGCTGCCTCTCTTCAATTTTGTTTACATTTATCAGATTCAAATTTATTTTAAGATTCTTTTTCTTGGAATTGCTCTGGTTTGGTTTGTTTGAACGTTAATAATAACTCTGCTTTTAGAGCGTCGTAATCTGTTCCCCTTTGCACTTTTAACGACAAATTTGAGACTATCCAACGGCAGGGAAATTATTACGTGATAGAATCTTGTTGTTTTACACATCACGTTTCGCAATTGAAATTGCATTTCGGAATTCTCGAACCAATCTGTTGACGCTGTTTTCTTGAAAAGAGGTAATATGGCGATCGGGTCAACATTTGGTTGGAACATTTTGTTTTCGTTTTTATCTAACCACGTGGATCTTCGTATTTCTTTTAACGTCGGATTTTCGTTGTTCAAATCATGTCGGAATTAACCAATTTGTTGAAGGAATGTTCGATTTAATATTATTTCGCTTTTGTTGTCGGATTATAAATCGGACAAATTAAAACAAATAATGTTATTTTATTAACCAAACAATCCTAACGATCTCGTACTAACGTAAAAAGGGAAGATGAAAAGTAAAGCAAAGAATAGTAGTAATAATAAATTAAATTAAAACATAGATATTAATATTAATAATAAAACTAATTAAAATTGTTAAATGTTTAAAATAACTGCATATATCTAATTCCCTACAGTATGTTGTTAAAGTTAATCTTATTCTTATTTTAAATGTTAATCATATCGACTAATCGCTATAATTTTATTAATGTTATTTTTGAATGAAATCTATAATACCTTTTGTTTTTTTTTTATTTTTATGTACAGAAGATTCATGGAGAGAAACATCTCAAAATGATGAATGAAAATAAAAATAAATTGAAGATTGTGAAGCGAGGTGCAAATGAAGATGGCACAATCTCAACTGCAATATCTTAATGACTCTTCACATGATATGGAGCAACTAAAGAGGTAAGTGCGGTTAATTTATCAACTAATCTCAATGTAATGTATTAGCAGTAATAAAAGCAGTTTAGTTAAATATATATATATATATATATATATATATATATATATATATATATATATATATATATATATATATATATATATATATATATATATATATATTACATTTCAATTTTGAATTAGTGAATAAAACTTGTGCCTTTATTATATTCCACATAACAATAGTTAAAAACTTTAATTAGCGTTATTCGGGTATCCAAGTGTTGCGAGATTATTTCTAAAATAAAACACGAGTGTGCCATCATTGGCTCCCGTTGAACGTTTGTTCAGTCAAGCTGAACTGATTCTCACACCAAAAAGAAATAGACTGTGTGATGATTCATTTGAGACTCTGTTGTTGCTAAAAAAAACAAACTGAACTGTGTGTGACTGTTAACAAATAAACCTTTTGAAAATAAAGTGTCTGAATTGTATCTCAAATAAATAAATAACATTTTGATTTAATTTTGACATGTACTTAGTTCTTGTACTTAATTGTCTACAGTACTTAATACTTATACATTTTTTACTGAGTACTTGATACTTATACTTAGGTACATTTTTTGAGTACTTACGTCTACACTGTGCCAAACACACTTTAGAGTGAAAATCAAATTTTTAAATAATTTTTCAATAAATTGAAAATCTTGCTCAATTTTTTTTCAATTTTCTGACAATATTTCCACATTGTTATTTTTTAAATTACGCACATTTCAGAATAAAACAGATTCAACAAAAACACGGAAAATTGGTTTGAAACATTTGAAAATTATCAAAAATATATTTAAATGATCTTATGCCGTTGTTAAGACTATTTGACATCTTTTTTCATCATCAAACATTGGTACTTGTGGACTGCTCCATCTGTTTCTCTTTATTCTTTATCCCTGCTGCATATTAAAAACCTCCCGTTAATAATTAATTATAGAATCATTAGCTTAGACAAAATATTTTTATTCAGAAAAATTTTTTTTGAGTACTAAACAAATTTTCAATTTTAAATAATCAATTTTCGTTGAATTTTAAAAATTGTAACTACCGTAGTTAAAAATATAAAGAATTAATATATGACTTCCATCAAATTCTAACGAATACAGTTGTTACTTTTTTTTGTTTTCGACCAAACTATCAATCCAAATATGACGGGCAGGACGAAAATGAAGGGCACTGAAGAAAATGTCAGGACGTTCGCCAAACCACTGTTCAAAATGTCACTGACTAATGATGATTCTGGAAAAAATGTTTAAATTTTTTCCGGTTTAATGTCACAAAATAAACAAAAATCCCAGTTTATCTGTTAACTGAATTAATGGTGTCGTCGTACTGGACATTCAAGTTTGTAATTGCATAAATCTTAAGTGACGCACTGAAGCACACTTCATCTGACAAAAACATCCCATCCTTGCACGAGCACTGATCAGACAGGTAGCCATTGATTTCATGAGTTTTGCAGGCAAGTTTGGATCCGCAAGCTCCGTTGGCTACACGACAATCTAATGTGTTGATTTTTTTTTTATTGAATTAAACTACTTATATCATATTACACTAAATTAAGAGCTAAAATAAAAAAATTTTGATTCAAACATCCATTTGAATGTTTTTACTTGGAAAATAAATAAAAAATTGCCTCTGATGTCACATAATTTCCCTCTCCATCCGGGCTCACACACGCCCGCCAAGCAGTATGGCTTTTTCCATTCAACTTTGTCGTTCATGCAGAGGTAGTGAAACTTGTAACCGTCTATAAAATCTAGTCTTGCTATGACTATGGGTGGGTTGGTTTGAGAGAGTACATTGAAAACTAAAATTGATGTACCACTGCAAAATTTGATTTTGAATTATATTTGTTTTAATAATTCTAGAAACCAGAGTATTATAAGGCTCTTTATTATTCAAAATATTTAAGAACACATACATTAAAAATGTTTTTTAAATTAAAATCTTTACAATAATTAATATAGTAAAATTCACACCTTCGTAAAAAAATTTAATGTGTGCTTAATTTATAAGGAAAGCAATCTCTCTACAACCTCTGTACACCTGCACGTATTTCAAGGATTTATCAAAACAGTCCTGCCTGGGTTTCTGCGAGTAAGTGACCACATAATTCAAACAGAAGCACGAACCACCCTGGAATGGATTCAATGAAAAAATCAAATAAATTTAAAATAGTAACCATTTTGCGATTGAAACAATTTGAAATAACGTTCCACAATTTTTAAAATTGCGACAACTGTTACAATGGACAGTGATGGGCATAGTTTAAACTAATATAAATAGTTGCAAACTATAAGTTAAACTATTTTTCAGTTTTGTGCATAATTTAACTAAAAAAAGTTTAGTTAAAATGATAGTTTAACTAAAATATTTCAGCCAACAGCTATATAGTTTAACCCTCAATGGGTCCATGCTAAATGGTTACGTTCCCGGACCTTGGGGTGCAATTTGCACCCCAGTCAATAATCGTATGTAAAACAATTGTAACATGCTCAAATTATTTTTTTAATAAAGATAAAATACGTTTTATAATTAAAATATGCATATTATATTCTCTCAAACAATCCACTAAAATGATGGTAGTAGGGGGAAACTCCCACAAACTTCATACAAATGAAATTTTAATTATAATGTCATTTTAAATTGTTAAAAATCAAATGCAAATGATGTTCTTTTTTCAAATTTAAGTCATAAACAATTTAAAAGATTCTTATGAATTTCTTGACTTTCTGAGCCGAACGGAATTGTCCAAATGTTTTCTAATTAGTGTTTCAACAAGAGAATTCTCGAGACTTATGATGAATTGGCGACGACGTATAGCCAATTATTCCAATCATGGTTGTTGCACATCCAGATCACGAAACTAGCAATGGTAGCTGTGTCAAGCATGTTAAAAAACCAAACGGTCCAGTCAAACTCTTTCCAGCGCTTTTGTAAGTAGAGTTCCATTTGGCATACCATCGTTCTGCTTCTATGTTTGTTTTTCTGATGACTGCAGACTGAATATCTTGAGTTAAATACAATTGAAACACTTTTTTTATTGAATTTTTACGTCTATCAAAAGTGACGCTGGGTTGTTGCCTGCCTGTTCTATCCACAATTGTATTAAAACTAACAACTGACTGACCTACAGCTGTTGGTTGAGCTGAATCGGATCTACCGTGCGCGTCCTTTCCACGACATAATCTACCTCTACCTCCTCTTTCTCCACTTGCAGTACCTTTACCTCTTTTAGTCACTGTTGTGGAAGGTTAATGTACCTGCTCTTCATCAGATGTAGTGGCATCTTTCGATTCATCAGATTCCTCAGACACGTGATTTTCAGTATCAAAATCAGCACTTTAACCTAGCAAATAATCTCTATCTTTACTATTGGCATCATTTTCAGTAACATTGTCTTTATCACTTTCTGTATTTTCCTGCATAATCAGTCTAAGAGCTTCAGCTGTTGAATAACTAGCCATGTCACGTAGTGTTAGATGAAATGCAAATAAAACAAAATGACTGGCATTCAAAAAAAGGTGCAACTGATAGCCAAATGTTACTAAAATATTATTTCATCATAATTGACAAAATTTATTAGCAATAATAAATTTTTTTTATTATATTGAAATGTTAAGTAACGTTTATTAAGGATGCGAAATGCACCCCAAATAAAAATATTTCGGTAAAAATCAGCGTAAAAATCTTTTCATAATTTAAGGCATGAAATGATAGAAAAATGATATCTTAACAATTTCCTAGAGCATGATTGCTGTAGTAATGTATTAACAATAGAAATTGCCTTGGGGTGCAGATTGCACCCCACAGACCCATTGAGGGTTAAATAAAATATTTTAATTAACTTATATTTTTTCGCCAAATCAGGTCGTAACTTAAATTTTCCATATTTTTACTGCCAAGAACATTTAATGTTTTTGGTTTTATTCATGTTCCTAATTGTTTGATTTCCTGTCCTTTTTGTATAATACGATGACACGATTGGTTAGTGTTTTTCAACCTTTTTCATTCTATAATGGTTGCGTTGTTTAATTCAAAAAATGTTTTTATTTTAAATGACGTTATAAAGTGCTCGCAAGAAAAGTCTGATATTGGCACACCTATTGCTTTACGTTGTTAACATTACGATTTTCATCATTTTTAATTTTAAAATATAAAACATTCAATTTTTTGCCCACACTCTTTGATTTGTAGTAAAATTTGTTATTTATATTATTTACTGCATGATTGCTTCTAAATTTAAAAAAATGTCATGACTGATTTTATTAGTAATAAATATCAATCCCAACAGAAATGAACAGCCTCTTAATTAAAAGTTGTTACCAGGACGCACAGCTGAAGAGTAGAGGCGGACAAAATATTAGTGAGTTGTGCCGTTTTTGCCTTCCTAAGCACCGCCGAGTTTGTGGCAATGTAAACTCGACCTCAAATTTTCTTAAATAAATCATATAAAGGTGAACAAGTTTTGATTTAGTGTAACAAAATTTTAATTGGAAAATGATCGTTAAGAATATCAAAAAGGGGTAAGTAATTCCAGCACCATTGTCATGTCTAATTTTTCACTAAATACACAGAAGTAGACAAACAATGTGGAAAAAAACCAATTTTATTCAAAGGACAGACGATTGAAATTTAACATTCATTTTTTAGGAACATCATGACAGCGGTACCAAAAGTACAAAGCAACTAAGAACACAACATCATCGATCAAAAAGCGAAAGCTGAGCAACGACGCAACATATACTCGCACCTGTGAAACTGAATCTAAATGGCATTCTACTTGTCAAGTCACTGTATCTGAATTGTTAAACAAATACACAACAGTAGTTTGAATTTGAACAAAGTCCTTACTCGCTTCTAAAGTTTTTTTTTACAAAAGGCGCTATACTGTTTAGCGTGTTTTGTTATAATTATAAATTTCAGTTTCCAATTAACTTTTAATACCAAGAAGCTTGATTATATAAATTACTTGTATTCTACAACTGACGGGAATATGGATTCGATGATTGTGTTGTAGCTGGAGTTGCTGGGAATGGCGCTGTCTTAGGGGGTTGAACTCGGGTTGGTTTGCCGATCTTACTGGTCTGTGACTTTCTCTTTGTGCATTTCACCAACATAAATAGGGAAATATTAATCATCCTGTGTGGTGTGTCGGGTTTTTTACTGTGGACATGCCTTGTATTGATGGCTCAGATATGACAAAAAAAAGATACACATTTCTCCGAAAGTATGTGGAGAATCTGCTGTGGATAGCCACTTCGGTAGAGACTCGGATACTGTAAGGGGTTTAATCATTTCTCTTGATTGAGGCTAAAAAATCCCTCGAGGTGTGTCGAGAATCTATTATGGCTAAATAACATGATGGAGGCTCAAACGCCATTGATGGAATTTTTTACATCTGTACGGTTCGTTCGGGATGTGTTGAGAATCTGCTCAGGCTAAATACCATAGTGGAAACTCTAATATCTTTGAGAGGATTTATGCAGTTTTGCATTTCTCTCGAGGTGCATCGAGAATCTACTGTGGCTAAATACCATGGTGGAGGCTCGTGTGCCGCTAAGAGAGAATCTTTATAATCTTTTCAATTTTGTGTCGAATGCCGTCTGTGGGTGGCTTCCATAGTGAAAATCAAGCGACATACCAGGAACGTTATCAAATCAAAACGTTATTGAAGTAGAGTGAATGCACTGGAGTGGGAGTCATTGGTTTGTGGGACTGGCGAACGGTAGGTGGGTTTTCTCTCTTCGTGCTGACGCCAACTTCTGGTCTATGGTGTGGTTATTGAATCTGTTACCCGTCAACTTAAAAAGACTGGAATAAACTATTATAACCTTACCTCTTAAAATATACTTAAGTCAAAGATTACCATTTATTTTTCTGGATTGATGTGTTGATATATTTTGATCGGATTCTTTCTTTTCGACTGTGATTGCTTTTGAAGATGTAATAATAATAACTGCATAATTAAAATAAAATAAAAATTAAGAAAAAAAAATATTAAAATTACTGGCACATTATAGCACCATCTTGGGAGCTGCAGTGCCTTTAAAATTTTCAAAAAAAAAATTTCATTTTAACAAATGTTTTTGTTTTGTTATTTTTTAAAGTTTTTTAAACTAAGCTTTTAAAAACTTTACTATTAAGAAGACTTTTATTTTCGTCTTTTACTTTGTATTTAAATTTATTTATTTGAGTTATTTTGAAGAAATGACAGTAAATAGCATGGCTTGTTGTGTTAGAGCGTTAAATGCTGCATCAGAATTCTACCTGTCAAAAAGTGAGTAGAAAATAGTTACAAAATAGTTCGGAAAAGTTTAAATACTTTTTTTTAGTTTTTTTAACTACATATTTTCAAAAATAAGATTACAGTTTATATTTAAATTTTTTATCTTTAGATGAAAAATAGTTATAGTCTAACCACAAATATTTAGTTAGTTGTCCATCACTGACAATGAATGCAATGCTCTTGCAAAATCAGTGATTTATTTGAAAACATTCGAGGCAAAATTGAAATGACTGTAACTAATGATTCTAGCATATTTCTCAATATTATGAAACTTATTTTAAATCAAATTTATTTTTTTGCGATAAAAATCTTGAAAAATTATTATTGCAACAGAAAAAAAACAGAACATCTTTTTATGAATTTTTTTACATTTCGGATATGAGCATGTAAATTTTTTAATATATGCTGATATTTTCATGTTAAATTTTATTGTTTAGAACAATGGAATTAATTTCGGAAAGGTTGGATAGTTTAGCAAAAAAATTGATGGTAAGTAAAAGTTGAGGATTCTTAGCAAATCAAAAAGCAATGGAAAAATGATGCAAGTTTGTGAATCCCAAGTTATTGTGAAAAATATTTAGCCCAGAATCTGACCTTAAGTGCCAGAAAAAAAAATCTTTTCTCGCTACAGAAACTGCGGCACCCACTGGCGGATATGTTTTTGATCGGATGGTCAACGCCGTCACTATCCCGCTCGACATTAGCGAAACAGCCAACGTAAGAAACCTCTTTCACGGGCTCTAGAATGAAACAAATTAATTTTTAATGTTTACGGCACTTTATTAAACATTAAAATTTATTTCCTATTTAAACCAGATATTTTCAAAATTTTGAAGTTAAATTATAAATAATTTATTCAGTGAGAAAGAATCTTTACTCATCTTCTTTTTGATATCAGTAATGAAAATAACTGTAGTATTTGAATAATTAAAGTTTAAATGTTTCCACTATTTTTAGAATTAATTTATATATCGTATTATAAGGAGATTCACTGGCATAGATGGAGTAGTAGTAGTTGGATCCACCACAGCCATGTTTGTCGTCGCACGTTGTATCGCAGAACTCTTCGTTGACCTTTTTGTCAACGGCGAGGAAACATCGGCATCTTGAGCCTTCCTGTTTGTGCGAAAGTTTCTTCAGTTATTTGAATGGGTAAAATTTTTGTACAATAAATTTCTTTTCAAATTCAGTCTTTATTGAACAAATAGGATGTCGTTTTAATTGTCGTTACATTGAAATTGTTAATTGAAATTTTACCATTAAATTATGTAAAAAAAAAAATAATTTTTTTCATTTTCATTGAAGTTTTTGTCATCTATGAAGTTGGATAAAAATATATTACCGGCCATTAAGCAAATTAGCATCATTGGTAGTTTTTAAACAATTTTAATTGTCGCCGTTTCAACAAAGTAAATTTGTCTACTTATGAGACAATGCAGAACTGACATGGGTCAATGGATTATGAGTCAGATGGGTCACTGGATCATGGGTCAGAACCTTTGACTCACTTTCTCTTCAACAAAATTTTCTTTTATTGTTATATATTTATATAAATATAAAAAAAAATTAATGAAAGGAGAATTTTGCACTTACTGAAAATATTGGAACAGTCTGTCAATGTTGAATTTCACTGCAACATTTCTGGACCCTTGCTTACAACCGTTTCACAATGTGAGAAATGATAAAGATCGGGAAGGTTTACTAAAGCAAGTCAATGAATGTCTTTATACTTTAGCTACAGAAGGTGAAAGACGCTTAAACATACAAAATAAACCAGATGATAACATGCAATTGGAGTACTTGAACTTGAACACAGCCGTTGCCAAATAAGGAAAAAGCAATTCGGAATCTCTACCTTCTGGAAACACAACACATGTTGCAGATGTCTCTAAACAGCCAAGTAAAAAAGCAAAATCTCTTTTGCATGGTTTCAAATTCCAAATATAGATGTCAACAAAGTAAAATCCGAGACAAAATCTGTTGTTTTAAAACCTCTGAAGCAAAGAACAAATGATGAAATTAAGAGATGTAATGCGAAATGCACCTATTTCACATTAGATTCAGAGAAGAACAATGTATTCAATCCATTATCATGGTGGAAGAAAGATGCAACAGATTTTCCAATATTATTTGGCATTGCACGGATTGTCTAACTCTTGAAACAATTTTTTCCATGTTTTAAGTAAAATTAGACAACATCTCAGGTCATGATACTGTTACAGAATAATAGACAATTTTTTAAGTGAATGTGTGTTCAAATTTTGAATTGACTGTCATCAAAGTTCTTCTACTTTGTCATTGTAATCATTGGGTTTTTTGGCTGCTTGCAGCTTATGTTTGCAGTTATCAAAAATGATGTGAAAAGTAGCACCATCAGTCATTTGTATTTTTATATTTTACAAGTATAGAATGGGTCATGAGTCAAACATTGATAGGTCACTTGGGTCATGGGTCAAAACAGTTGACTTATGGTCAGAAACAGACGATGAATATAAACAAATTCCCGAAACATTTTAGAATTCAAAATCAATTAACCATCATTCCATAGAACGGTGTCTTGCAATGCATTTCGCAGGCCACAATTGAATTAACAGCCTCAGTTTCGTTCTCGTCCTCGATAAAGAAGCATCCGTAATACTCTTCATTCACATCTACAAAATAATTGTTTGAAATATCACAATAGAAAACGGTTTACTTTTTTAACATTAAATTTTTAAATGTCAGACCGAAACGCGTTGTTGATCATCAAAAATGTTTTTGCATACATTTTCATTTCAACTTTGCTTCGGTTAATCATTTGAAGTAATTCAATTTTTTATGTACAAAAATGTTTAGCGATTGTGATCAAGAAAATGAAAGTTATTTCACGGCTTGTTGGCATGGAAAAGACCAGCTTGTTGTTTGTGACAGGTGGCACCGTTGTTGCTGCATGGAAAAGTTTATTTTTTTATTAGCTTTGAATTTGTATGTTATGCTTTTCTGCTGATAGTAAACTTTAAATTTTGATGTTATTTATTGAAATTAATAAAATTACTAGCAAAAATTATTAACTAACGTGTGAATGATTTATTAAAATTAAGTTATTCAATGTTTAACGAATGTTTTAAAATGACATTGTTGGCTGAAATATACTTATCACAACGCAAGAAACGTTCGGAGGAAAACCAATCAGTTCAACCTTCTGCTCAACACACTGGTCGGATCCACAGTAGCCGTTGTTCAATTTGCAGTCTGATAAAGTTTAAAACTTAAATAATCAATTTAGTATCGAATAAAAATTGAACTATACCAAATTCACCTACCTATAGCGTAAACTTCCAACTCCAGGATGACACTAGCTGAAACATTAGCGACGACGATCGATTGAGACAATGCAGCATTGCAGTTTGCATGCACCGGTTGAGCAAAAATTATATTTGTCGCCTCAGGAATGCTACAGTTTTTTTGGCCAACAATGATCTGCATATCTTCAACTTTTTATCAATATTAAATTCAGATAAGTTGAAATTAAATTTTTAAAAACGTTTGACGGTTAGATTGAAAAATTACTAACTATCAGTTTTTGTCGAAAAGTATATAGAACAGAAAGCAATTTTAAACTTTTTTTGGAGCACAACTTCAAAATAAGTAACTTTGGCATGAACAGCTGATGGATTGAGTACCTCTCCATCTGTCAGGTATTTCAATGAATCGTTATACTTTCCTGACACTCTTATCAGTTTCTCATAGGCAATGTTCATTCTAAAATCTTTGAAATTTTCAAAACGTTATTTGATGAAATTTATTAAAAATAGCATTTATAAATAAGTTATTGTAGAGTAATAACGAAAGGAAAATAATTAATTGCACTAACCTTCACATTTATGATGATTGTTTCTTACTTTTCCGTTCCCACACAAGCACTCAGAAACAGATTTGCCGTTTACAATGTTGACTTCACACACAAATTCTTCTCCGCAGTTTCCATTGTTGTTGCTACAATCTGGTTTTATGTCATTTACAATTTCTAAATGCCGTTTAAATTTTTCAATTAATTGATCAGTAGGTACATATCATGTGAAAAAAAACCTCAATGTTTATCTTACTATGCTTCATACTTTAATACAAAAGTATTTTCTAATTTTCTACCAAAACAATTTCACATTTCATATTTAATTGGGAAATTTGTAAAATTTAATGAATACAAAAAAACTCTTGAACACACAGACCCCTCTCCATGCAGTCGTGTCCTTTCCATCCACTGAGGCACACCGCCCTGCACCGATCCTTCAAGCCATCAGCTGCTGAAGCGCAGTGCTTCGTGCTCGATAAACCTGACGGATACTCCAAACTAAATCGGACTGGTTAGGTAGGAAAGGGCTATTAGATAACTAAATTTTATCAAACTACTGTTACTAAACATTGAAAATATTAATAATTTTTGGGTAATTAATTAAATAATTAATAAAAATTCAGTTCAAGTTGTCACAACTTATCATATTTGAATGTGAAATAAAAATGTTTTCTGTACAAAATTTTTTTTTCAGTTTTATCAAATTTTTAACTAAAAAAAGGACCTAAAAAGATTGGCTGACGGCCTCCGAACTCGACCGACTTATCGCACTTACCACAAGCTGTTGGTTCGCTCACGATCTTCGGTGATATTTCGCTAACCTCACATTTGCAAGCATTGTCTGTCTGTCAGGTATTTAGTTTGAAAAGTTTATCGCATTCAATTTCATAAGGTGTGAGACGCAATTGATTGTAATTATTCTTACAAGATCAGATTTCTATAAACCGAAATTTGAATACCAAATGACAAGTTAATGTTTTCAATTTTTTTGATTTGAAAAAAAACTTAAAAGAAGCATTGCCTAAAACATGAAAATATAAAATCAAAGTGAGAGATCAATAAACAGACAATAAGAAACATCGTGAAGTTGCGTTCGTAGCAGTGACGTTGGCAGTCGCGTAGAAGTGAATTGGAGTACGTGCGAGTGTCGCTGGCCCCTTGTGGTGACGAGCCGACAATCGAATAGCAGCAAGTATCGGCTGCACGTCCTAAGAAGTTGAATTGAATGACATGATCATTTAAATAAAATTGTCATTTTAAGTGGAAAGGTTTCAATCGAACTGTTTTCAAAAGCTAAACAACACTTTTATATTTGTAAATATAAAAAAATTAAACTTTTCAAACGTCTAATGATATGATGGAGAAGATAATAATTGAATAAATTCAGCCAACAAACCTTTTGTAATTAATTTGATCTTGTTTTAAAAATATATGTAAATATAGTCACTTATTCATTTGATTATACATTTATTTGCTCATATTTGGCTCAGTCATTTCAAATTCGATTGTTCAACCAGTTATTTACGTATTTTTCAATTGCAAATGTTAATTTGAGATTTGATTAATAAAGAAACATGATCATGCAGATGAAACGGTCTAAATCATTTTCAGAGCTTTCAAATGAGACCACCGTGGTAGACAGAGGAGGCATCGGGAGCTCCACACGCCCTACCATCAGCTGGACAGACCATGTCGCAGTGGGATGAGGAGACGGCTGCACTGACGCGGGTGGCACAACTGCATTCACTTCCGTTCTTATTTGTTTTCAAAAGTAATTTTAAATTTACAAGTTGAGGTAATTTTTCAAATTTAGATTTTTTTTTTAAAAATATGAATAAAAAGTTTAATTAAATTAAAAAATTAATGATATTTGGATCAAAATAGTTGTTCTATTAGACAAATATTTTTTAATCAAAACAATTTTGATGGGTGGCTTAAATTCACATGGTGAGATTTGCAACAAATTTTAACAGCTATATAGTATATAAAACAAATCGAAAAAATTCACAATGGCAAAATGTTAGCAATCTTTTAATAAGTGAAATATACTTTCAGAGCAATCATGCCAGCTCTCTCACTCGACGGCCGACAAAGCTCTCTGCATGATTTGACTGAATCAACTTTCCCTGGTGTTCCATGTTTATCTGCTGCCACGAATTTGTAGCAACCCACATACAGTTCTACAAATTTGTTGTTTGATAATATTTTTCAATTTAGAACATTTTGAAATTTCTAATTTTAGATACTCTTTTAATGAATGATATTCATATGAGAATATACCATGCGACTGAGTAGAGGTAACAAGTAGAAAAAGAAATAATTCAATATTTAGGACATATACATCAAATTTTGGTAGAAACATTTTACGTTAAAATTAAGCATTGTTTACATATTTGAACTTTGAAAACATTACATCATCATTGAAAAGTAAAAAAATCAAAAAATCATTTCTTTGGCATTTTTTGAACGAACAAAAAATACATCCACACACATACATTCATTCATCAACTCAGAATGGAGGTGTTTTTCTCGTTGTGTGTTTGTGCGATTGTGTGCCTCCGTATTGACCATGCACGTGTCTGAATGGGTCTAATGCGTGCGTGTATATTGTATTGAAAATAAATTTTTGTTTTCAATTTTCATATATGTTTAAGTTGTTACATCGTGGCATATGAAACTTGTGGTTTGTACACAACTATTTTTAAAGTTCCATTACAGACAAGTACGTGTCTAATGTTATTTATTTCACGAACCATGTGCACAAACTTTCTGTATAGTGTTCCAATGTGCTGTTGTACGCACTCCTGTTTTTATTATTTCCACTAATTTCCACTTTTTTTATTTGCGTCCTTTTTTTATCGTAATTTTAATTTAAATGACCTTCTTAACTTGTTTGCGATTTTATAATTTTAAATATTTTAGAATCAAATTTTAATTATAATTATATAATTTAATTTAATTATAATTTATTAAAATTATATAATATTTTATTTTAACGGCTTCTTTTAATATTTTATGTGTTTATATTCCGATATTTTCAACGGTAATAAAATTTTATATTATTTTTGAATTTTAAAGCTAAAGAAAGAACTATAATATTCTTATTACCTCATGTTATTACAAAATTAACCTGCCACATTGACAGACTATCAGTTTGTGTATTTTGTAAATAAAAAAATTTCTTTCTGGCAATTTATATAAACTGAAATTAAATTTGCAGCATTCTTTATTGCCTGAATGGATGATTCATCGTTTTCGAGCGAGCAATTTGTTAGAATGGAGATTCTTCCAGTGGACACCTGCATAAAAATGAACACGGAGGTCAGGAAAAAGTGTTCACTGGAAGGTTGTACTTTCTCCGCTCGCAATAACTCGCACCTGAAATATCACAAGCTCGTGAAACATGGAGTTGGTAAGAAATTGAAGTGTCCCTCGTGTGAATACACCTGCCTCAACAGGTCAATGCTCAACAGTCACTTGAAGAGGCACTCGCTGGAAAAGCCGTTTTCGTGTGAAACCTGCGGAAGCTGCTATAAATTTTCAAACTTGTTAAAAAAAAATTTCAGCAAAAATCCATCACACGACCAACAAATTGTAAAATTAGATAAAAACGATGATATTTTCGCCTTAATAAAAATTTTTGAAGGACTTAAGAAAAAAAATAAGACAGAAAAGAATAAAAAACAAATTAAAAATAGTGACTTTTTTGAATTAAATCACTTTAATGTTCGACCATTTATCGAGGAAGGATGTTTTGATGAAAATGAACTAAAGTATAAATCAGCTGACTTCTCTGATTGTGAAATGTGGATGAAGGAGATGAAGATAATTGGAGAGGTCGATGACGACTGCATGGAGATTGACGAACCACAGCTTTTTGATAACTATTCTATATTTGATGATGACGAAAATTTTCAATTTGATTGAGCTAACATAATCATTTTTTTTTCATTATATCATTTTAGCAACCATTCACAAAATTTTCGATCGATTTTTAAATATGATTCACAATTTTTATTGAAAAACTTTTTTCTCACAAATATAAATTATGTAATGAAAAAGTTTCAAAATTTTTGACAATTTGTGGTACTATTTGTCATGTTTGTTTTGATTGTGATATTTCAGGTTATGATTATGCAGAAATTTTTTGAAAACGTTTTTGATAAAATACACGACTTTAAAAAATATTTTAATTGTGTATAAGAACGTTCAACAACTGTACATTTTCAAAATAGAAGTTAAAAAATATATTCGTGAAATATCTTTAAAAGTTTGTCTTTCATGTTAAATAAAATGAACACGGTAGTACTAGATCAAGTTTTTGATGTATAATAAGGATTTCTTAAATTGTTCACTGCTGCTAAGTAGATGAAAATAAATAATTAAAAAGTTTTTGAGCGCTTAATGATTCTGGTTTAGTTGGAATAAAAAAATTCTAAAAACATCTATATCACCTTGTTCATGTTTATATGATAGAAAAATTAATAAGTGTAACCTTTCACAATAGCCGATTCAATGAACACGTTCTACATAATTTGTTAATTATTTTTTTAAAAGTTTTCTATATTTGTTTGGAATTTTGATACCTGTCCTTAACAGTCGAAAAGCGAATCAACTGTTAGACCGAATTTTTCGTTGATTACATTCTACCTGTGTAGTTAAAATCTGTGTGTACTTTATGAGATGCAATGATATCATCGATGATAACTGACGCGGGGAGACTTCGAAATGAGGGATCGTTTACAGCCTAAAAATTCAGTAAAATGACGTAATTGCTTCAAGGTCAAAGTTCAGTTCGAACGCTTCGTTACACTTTTTTTTATGTAATTCATGGGTGAGCATTGAGCAGGTTTGAAACCCTTTTGAAGGGTAGGGTACAGTGGCGGATTTAGACAACTTTGACGGGAGGGCAAAATTTTTACGGGCAGAGCAAAAATCTGTGGTAGTGTGGCAGACGACCTAATTTTGATGGATTTTTGGCATAAAATCGTTCTTTTTCTGACTTTTATTAAAAAATTGCTAAAAACTTGTGACTTCTTAGGCCCTACCCCAGGTCCGCCACTGGCGATGGAGATAGCAAAATGGTAGAGTTAAATTTTTAAATGAGAAATTAATTGGGTAGTAAAAACAAAACGTTTTTTATTTTGAAGATGAAACAAACATTAATGACAGGTCTGCAGCAAGATAGAAAGGGATATATAGATGAGTATTAAAGAATAGGCATTATAAAAATATATCAAATGTACAGAATAGTAAAATTTAAAAAGAAAAGTATTTTTAAAGTAATGATTTAATCAACAAACAAGTTTTAAACGTTTGAAGAGAGAAAGGTAACTGTAAGATTTTTAATGGAAATATTTTAGATAAAACAGGTCACCAATTTGATATTGGATGCAAATATTATAGGTATCATAAAAAAAATTTTGAAAATGTTTTGTCAAAATATTCAGACATTCCACGATGTATTGTGAGCTTAGTTTTAATTATTTTTAATAATATTATTAAAGCTAGTAGGTACCAATGTCATTGAAGCAGGCAGTTTGTGAAACGAATTCCATTTTCAGAGTAACGAAATTAACTAAAGTTTTGTCAACGAATCCTTATAATTTATAAAATTAATAAATAATAGTCAACTAAAGCTATTCGCTTCAAAAATTTTATTTCCAGAATCTTATAGTTTAACAATTATATAAACCGCAAACCTCAATGTAAATAATAAAATGCAACAAAATTAAAATACTTACTTGAAGAATCAAAGCGTGTCACAAAGTTATTAAAAAAAAATTTACAATCAAATGAATGAAAATGATATAAAAAAGATTTTATTGATTTAAAAATTGATAATACAGCATCCAAAAGAATTATTTCTTGAATATTAGTTCACAACTTTTATGAATGGTTTTTCAAAATATTGAAACACATAAAAGGATATGTAATGTTACTGTTTTCTTCTCAAGTTAGGAAACTTTTTAGCGACCACTTTAACTCTTTCTGGAGTTTGTTTCGTCACTATATCATCGGCAAGAAATATTCAAAAGGCAGATCTTCCAATTTATTGATGGCATCCTGTGATAATGGAATTCCCCAGAATGCAGCTAGTGGTGCTAAATTGAATTTACATTCCTCGGAAAAAATAATAAACCATTTGTCTATTTCTTCTTGGTTATTATTGGGTTTTTCTTTTCTAGACATATTCTGATAACGACGAAAAACTTGTTTATATATCGCCCAACCAAATGTATCGGCCAATTGGGCATACGTGTGTAAAGCAACCCCAGCATCGTTTTTCCAAATTTCAAAATCTGAGCCATTATTGAGATATCCAACTCCTTTCCATATTTGTTTATTCAACCAAGGAACAGTCCAACAGTCAAGATTTCCAATCTTTTTCATACCGTACAGATTGAAAACATTACTCGTTACCTCCAAAGTTCCTTCAAATGTCCATTCACTCTGTTGCATATTGTGGCCAATTTCATGAAAAATTCCCCAATACTTAGATGTATTTAATTTTAAAGCATTTTCATTGAGCAAAAATTTTTCACCTTCTGGATCCGCAACATCCAAATGAGTTACAATTGGATATCCAGCATGCATGGCACCGTATGAAGGTTGCTTGTCAGTCACCACCCACATCTTCCTAGAAGTTTTAACATCTGTGCCTCTCAAATCGTGATAATGTTCAATTAGAGTATCGTATATATCTATCACCGAACCTGGGTTTTTCAAATTTCTTATGCTGGATGAAGGTAGTGTGATTGTTATGTATTTTCCTGAAATATCTGCCCAAAGTCCTGGTAAATTTTTGTTTTCTTCCCAATTTTTTTGTGAAGAAACATCAGCAGAATTAAATTGTGGAGACGGGACAACATTTATAAGTTTTGCCGCTATACTGGATTTTTCTTTTGGGCTTTGAAACACAACACTACCCCCAATATAAAAAGATAAGTCATATTTACCAACAACTTGTATTTCAATCCTTTTAATCATTTTAGGCCAACGTTTTAAAGTAATTGCTGATACATAATCTGTATGTACTCCAACATAAATTATCCAAGTTCCACTCAATGCGGTAATTTCTAAACTTGCCTTTGATCCAGCGGCTACGTAGGTTCCTGAAAAAAAAAATTCTTCTTTTTCTGATGAAAACTCTAATGATTTGTCAAAAAAGTAAGGCAAATTTTTAAAATCTCCTGGAAAGTCACTAATGTACAATGCCTTGAACTGTTGATTCGATTTGAATTCTGCCAACAACTGCCAAAATTCAACCACCTGACGTTGGTGTAAATTTTTGCAATTAATCATACCTTTAGGGAACAATTTTTTCAAATTTGTGCTAGCTTGCTCCCAAAAAGAAATAATTTTTAATTTAAACTCAGCACTGTATTCAAGTGGAAGTTCTGAAACTTGACTCAGCAGTGCAGTTTTGTTGTACATATTTTCAATATTAGGATTACTTTTGAAAAATTTAGCCAAATTTGCACTGCCGGCTTTGTTCAAATTAGAATAGTACCAGCCATCGTTATCATTAGCGTAATCAGAAAAGTAAGTGATTCCGGAATTCAGTAACATCTGTCCGTATGGAATATTTCGAATTATTTTTCTCGAATAAACAGCATCCCATCCTGGTAAGGAAAAAGCGTATATAAAGGCACCTCCGTTTGTAACGTATTTGTCCACAACGGAAAAGTTTACGGTTTCTTTTAAACCATACGACACCAAAACATCAAATTGTTCTTCTAGAGCTTTTAATTCAATATTCTTTTTTTGCTCATCCAACATGCAGAATCTGAACAAATTTTTGTTGGTGTTTCCGGTTAACCAATTTAATATATTTTGGTAGAATTTTGAATTCGGTAAGTCATTTTTAAGTGTAACGAGTTCTCGTCCGTAAGATGCACGTGAAAAAGCGACGATTTTACCTTTCCCATATTTAGCTGCAGCCACAATAGTGTCTTCTTCGTTTAGGCCTGTTAAGATTGATTCTGCATTTTCACCAAACACAATTAATCTACCGGGGTTGGACAGCTTCTGAACTTTTCCAACATTGAGCAAAATTTCATCTCGCCACGAATCAGATGATAAGCTGCCGTTCAATCTGTATAAATAATTAAAATTTATAAATGTTATTTAGATTCGTTGTAATATGCACCCACCCAATTCGAATGCATGTTAAAAAAAACAGTACACTATCGTTAGCCAAATTAGTAAAACAGAAAATAAAAATTTTTGTAAAAACTCACAACACTTCTAACAGGAAGAAAATTAAAAGTAGGTTTGAACAAAAAATATTTTTCCACATTTTATGGAACTATATTATAAAAATAAAATAGACAAATGCAAATCATCCTTGCAAATGACTTACTTTTATAGTAAAAATGTATCGTATTATATATATATATATATAAGTATATATATATATATATGTATATATATATGTATATATATATATATATATATATATATATTTATATTTTCAAAAAATATTTTTTTCTGTTTTAGCTGCGTGCTTTTTATAAACGTTTATTGGTTCAGTTGATCGTTCAACCGGCAAACAATTTAATTACCGTGATTTCGTGACTTTCAGTTGGACAAAATTCACCAGTAATTTTAACGATGTTTGAAATTAAAAAATCGGATTTTTGGTTTAAATTGAGTTTATGAACTTCTTTTTATTAATCTTAGTTATTTTTGATATTTATATAATTAACTTCAAAAAAGCTTTTAAAAATGAGCAGATGATATTGAAATAACTGTATATCTTTGTTTAAATTTTAAAAACATCAATTTTATTTTCAATTTTGAAGTAAGCTTCACGCGTAAAAAAGCCAGTGCTACATAAATTGTAAAATGCTTAAAACCATACACGCCTAAATTCCATAGTAGTTTCTCCAAAACCAAATATGAAAACAATGTAACAAGCCGGTTATTTATTTAAAGCATTCTAAATGTTGAAACTTTTTTATTAATTAACCTTTTTTATGAATTTACTTATGTTGGAAACAATCACATTAAGAAACGCAAACGATGTAAAAAAATTAAGTGATCAATATTTCACATCAGTTAACGTGCTTAGAATTCTGTATGTTTTAAAAATAGTATTTTACAAAATTGATCGCTTTCAAAGTTTCATTGGGTTTACGTGAGTTCGTGTTAAAATGAAATTATCAAATAATGTCATTCCTTTAGAAAACATTGTAACAATTTTCTAATTATTTCGAAAATATTTTTTAAAATAAAAATAAATATATACCTAGGTGCATAATGAACCTCCAGATTCATTCATTAGACAGCCATCCTACTACACCACAAGAGATCTACTCAACATTTTGGAAGCCAAGTACATCAACAATCATCGTCACTCTCTTTCTCGACTTCACATAAACAGCAGAAGTCTTTTAAATAAAATTTCTGACATTCTAATTTTAAATAAATTTTCATCTTATTTTTTCCAATTATTATTATATTAGAAACATAGCTGAATGATGAAACCGCTAAACTAGTTCGTATGAATGATTACAATTTTGTTTTTTGAAAATAGGTCTGATATAATAGGAGGTGAAGTCGGAATCTTCATCAGATCAGGCATTGAATTTTCTATGATAAACAATTTGCTTCTGAATGATACCATTATTGACCTTCTAGGTGTCAATTTAAAATTAAACAACACACACGTAAATATTTTAGCAGTATATAGACCCCCCAACACAGACCCTAATATCTTAATCCAAAAGCTCGAACTTATTTTATCCACATTCAAGCCACACATAAAGAGCTACTTAATTGGCGACTTCAGCCTCGACCTCAATAAACTCAACAGTGACAACGCTGTTGCTGACTTCTCTAAACTACTATCATCATACAACTTCTTACCTCTTACAACCTCCTCTACTGGCATCTCAACTTCTTCTCGCTCACTCATCGACAATATCTTTACTAACAACCTAACTCCTCACTCATCTGTAATAATACTGTCTGACATATCTGACCATTTCCCTATATTCGCCATCGCTTCCAAATCAGAAAACTCAAACCATGCCCCTATTAAGCACTTCAGAAACCTAACTAAAAAATCTATTAACAACATCAACAATTTCTTATCGAACCACGACTGGAATTCTTTTACTTCTCTAAAAAATGTCAACGACTGTTGTTCTGTTTTAAATACTATCTTAACTCACTCTCTAGACACTTTTGCCTCCCTCCGCCCAACCAAAAACAGAAAGAAAAAATGCTGATCAATGACAATATTCTAAGCCTTGCAAAAAAGAAAAACAAACTATACATCATAAGCCTTAAATATCCAACCACCCGCAACGTTGCAACTTACAAAAGCTTCAAAAACATATTTCCATCTATTAATCAAAAAACTGAACGAGACTACTTCTCTAACAAACATGAAGACGCACGTAACAATGCTGGACAAAAATAGAACTCTATCAAGGAAATTTTAAACAAGCAACCTCCAAACTCATCAATAACCAAACTAACTATCAACAACCAAGCAATTGAAAAAAAAAAACAAAAAATTTGTGACTTTCTCAATACCCACTTTGCAAACATCGCTAGCCAACTACTCTCAAACCAACCTCCCAGCTATGATAGTTCTAATGATTTTATGAGCCCATTCACACCCCATTCCATTAGTCTATATCCTGTTACTGAACAAGAATTATTAGCTACTGTTAACATCTTGAAAAACAAAACAAGCTACCAAGACGACGAACTCAACATGTTCCTTATCAAAAGCATAATTTGTTCTATCATATCACCACTCAATCATATCTTCAACTTATCACTAAGCACTGGAATCTTTCCTTACTCATTTAAAAAATCCAAAATCATGCCAGTATTCATGAAAGGAAACAAAGATGACATTAACAACTACAGACCCATTTCCATTCTTTCTCCGCTGTCAAAAATTCTTGAAAAACTTTTCTTCAAAAGACTCTCTATTTTCTTCTGCTCCAACAATACTATCTGTAACAACCAATACGGATTTAGACCCAACCACTCAACTGAGTTTGCCATTCTTGACTTCACTCAGCACATACTAAATGAAATGAACAACAAAAAATTCTATTGGTATTTTCCTTGACTTATCCAAAGCCTTCGATGTCATCGATCACAAAATACTCCTATCCAAACTACATCATTACGGAGTAAGAGGCAGCTCACAACTGGATGAGAAGCTATCTTTCATCACGGACACAATATGTTTCCATGGACAACATCCATTCAAAGCACGCTCCTATTCATCACGGGGTACCACAAAGATCCATACTAGGACCCCTTCTATTTTCTATTTACATAAATGACCTCTGCAACGTTTTGCCCTCAACCAAATGCGTACTGCTCTCAGACGACACCAACTTTCTTTTCACTTCCAACAACTTACCGATAGATTGCTCTGAACTTATCAATCTCAAACTCCAAATATACTCTACCTGGTTATCCAATAACAAACTAATCATAAATTACTCGAAATGTGCATGCATTATTTTCGGCCCAAAAATACTCACCAACCAAGCTCCTAACCTAAGCCTATTAATTAAACTATTAATATTTAACTCAGAAAGCTTGGAAAAGCTTTTGTTCGAAGTTTATTATGTTTAGAAAGTGTTTTCCAAGAAGTTTTGTTCAGGAATTTTTTGCTTGAAAGGTTTTTTTCTTATGATTTGTTCTGATAAGTTTTTGACCGGGGGAAATAAGTTTAATTGAATACTTTTTCAAATATGATGAAATACAGTTTTGATAAT